AAAAAAAAAAAAAAAAAAAAAAAAAAAAAAAAAAGTGACAAAAGTTAATTAAACACATTATGACATTGAAAACATACAATAAGAAGTCACTGATAAAAAAATCAACCAGTTTCTTTTAAACAGTTTACAGTAATGAACTTTATGCATTAATATTTTGAAGGGCCCATGGGATAAAAGCCTTTGCACATCTAACCGTTGTAAGTTCTACATCTTTGATGAATATGATAAGCCTTGCAGTATTTATTAGGATTTATATGATCTAACGGAAACAAATGTGGAACGTTGTGATCTAAAGGCACCTAAACTTTTGTTGCTGTTGATGTTATCTTGTGTATATCGTGAGTATCTTTTTGATGTACGTTCGAGTATGATGGGAATTGCAGAAACCTTCTTTTCACATAGGCACAAACAAAAATAAGTAGTAGTACGTAAAAATACATGGATTTGAACTTGCTGTTGCAGCTGAAATTCCTTTAGGGTCAGTAATTGAAAAGGTTGCCTCATGATTTAAAACTACGTTTGCAACGAAGAACAGACGAAAGCAGTAAATGTTTACATGCTAACTAGGGAAAAAACAACATATGGTGTATCAATCACACCAGAAGTTTACGGCTTTCTACTCGTCTTTCTGCTCCTTTTTCAAAAATATTTTGAAAGGGTTAATGAAAGGTGTCCACGGACACCATTAATTCAGGTGGTCAGTGAGGGAGAAAGGCCACAGGGGTCCTTCATGAAGTGGTCAGTGAAAGGTAGAGGTGGCAATTAAGAATAGCTACATGGACATTATTAAAGCATTCTGTTAAATGGGAATTTCTGAGGAACTAGCTAAAGTACGTACCAAGGCCTACTAGCGAAAGATGCGAATTACCTGTCGTTTCTAATTTAGAACAAGAAGCACATGATGTTGGTTAGAGTAAATTGATTTCAACATGTTTGTACCTAGACACCATGATGACGATCTGACATTACTTACTGACAGATATGTTCAGGATGTTTCAACAAAGACCTCGCATTGTGTACATGGATGTAGGCTGTTGTTATTTGTGATGTGATAATTTGTGATAATTTACTCATTGGCCATTGCCTCGCTACAATGTATTCAAAACATTCACCCTCACTTCCCGTCGTTCTTCCATTAAAAATACCCATAATCAATCGAGTTGTGCCTATTTTTAATGTTCGTGTTCTGTAAATGATGTGCACGTGTTCGTCTAAAAATAGAATGAATAAGACGGAAGATAATTGACCGAGTGGAAAAACGCCAATCGCCTTGTCCACATCTCCTGTGTTTTGCTTTATCTATTTTTCATGTATGTCTTCTTTAGTGTTCGTTCCCTTGAAATATTGGAATCATTGTTGCCACCTAATGGTAACTGATGGCTTGGAAGAAGGTTAATTTCCACCCTTCAGCTTCATTACGCAACGGCATGGCAACGCTTCAAAGTGCAAACTTCCCACCCTGAGTTTGAAAGAACTCCCGATGATTATCTAACCACATTGGCGGATTTAAGGGGGGTTGGGGGGGGGGGGGGCTGACCCCCGTGCGATTTTTGAAAAAAATCAAACCAATGGTCCCCCTTTGAAATTAATATTCAAACTAGCTGAATTATAGTTCTAAACCGTACCAGGTGGCACCGTTCGCTCTCTAAAATACCAAATTTTTCGGGGGAAAGTCTGGGCTCCCATTTGATTACGTACAGGTTAGGGTTAGTACTAGTCGTAGTATTGGGGTTAGTATATGGGACAAATTTCACCTGTACAAAGTAATGGGGAGCAGACTACGGCTCCTTGCGGACTACCATTCTTGTCATGCCGGTTTCAACAGACTCTGAATTTCTGGGTGCAGCTTGGCCAGACAGTATTGATACCTTGGTTCATGAGCGCAATTGGCCTTAATTTTGTGAAAATCGGATTTTTCCGCACCTATTTCTGTCTTTTCCAAAGGGAAATGTTTTGGGTATTGGTTTTGTAATAAGAGCAATCTATAATTGATGCGACATACCCATACGGTTAAAAAATTAGATAAATTCCGTCTACCTGTTTACAGGGAGTCAATACTCGTTTTAAAAACATCTTATAGATTGTGTCTGGTCTTACAGGTAAACACCCCTGCTTAGTCTCTCCTTTCCTGCTTGCGGTGTCTAAATGTATGAGTTGTTCTAAACAAATGCTACATGGATTTGCAATATGTCTGTATTGGCCGTGAGTTGCCGGAGTATGGAACGCCAGTATCTTGTCCGATGTGTAGAATCCAATGCGGAACTAAAAAACCATCCTTTTTTCAACATCCAGTGTTATCTTATCTATCACACTGCACTACTCTATATTTGGATCGGGTTGCAGCTAATACGTTTTCAATAAGATGCAAGCAATACCGTACACGATTCATTTTACTTCAATTGACAATGAATAGGTGTCTCATTCACAAAAGGCACGTAAATGTAAAAACCAATACAAAATCAGCCTACAACTCGTGACAGAAAGTTTTCCTTCGTTATTTTGCTTTAGAGAAATAACCGCATGGTAAATGTATTGAAGCCAGCAAAGAAACAGAACAGAAAACAATATCTATGTATAAGCTTGAATTTAGGCCTACCTATAAACTTTATAAAACTGCATATATGCCCAAAGCATAATAAAAATATACAACAACTTTGTACAGGTAAACTATACTGTGCGAATGCTCACTTCCCTTTATACAACAAGCGTTATTCACTCAACGTGTAGAAGAGGGTAGGAGCACCAATGGTGACAGTTGCAATTGTTCCCATAATAGATGGCATAAAACTCATCTCGCGTCTCAGAATGTAGTCTTATCTACTAAGTTGTCTTAGTATAATACATATATGTAAAATTAATATCTGTTGTCATTTCAGTCATTTCAATAAATTATAAAGATGTTATGTAACCTGCATAGTTTTGTCTGTCACTAACTTATCTATTGTCTGCGTTGTATTCTCTTACCTGTCACAATTTTATTACACACCTAACTGTTGGCTGTCTTGTACTAAGTGTTCGTGCAGAGCAATAAGCATTTATTTCGCAAAAGCCGCAAAAAACGTATTCTGTTCTTCATAAGCAAGGTGTGAAATGAAAACATATTTGATACTGAATATTCAGTGAAGTATGTCTGTGTCATGAACCCAGCAAACACAAAACGTTATTAAAATGTTACCAAAACATTTAAATAACCAAAAAGTGTTATTATGGCAACGTTACAAAATGTTCTGTGTTTTCTGGAAAGATTATTAAATTCAATCGTTCGTAAACTAATTTTACAATATATTTCAGTTCTCCATCGCTTCGAACGCCTGCAAACATGTTGATACTTAATCTCTCCTGGAGCGATTTAATGATGTCCACGGCCGTTCCCATGGTGACCGTGGCTGCGCTGGAGGGGAAATGGGTCTTTGGAAAAGTAGGTAAGGATGACAATGCTGTATGCGCGTGGGTTGTCCGATATAAGTGTCAAAGTATGCACAGTCATGAAATGCCTTAGAGGAATTTTCCATAGGGTCCCAGAGGACATATGTCCTAGATAGGAATTCTATAGAACGTCCGATAGAATTATTAATTCCCGTAAAGTCAAATAGAATACTAAAGGACTACTATAGGAACAGTTGGTAAATAATTCCAGAATGACAACAGATTTGACCAAAGTGGTTCCATGAAGATAAATGTTTTTATTATATATCTTAGTAAAAATGCACACAATAGAGATTAATTAAAGATGATGATTAAATAGATGAAAAAAAAGTCGATCAAGGTACCGGTATACGCCAACTAGTCCGAGGATCAGATCAATGAAATAACCAATACCCCAAACATGGTTCTTTGGGATCGAATCCATGCGATTTTAAATTTCCACCATGAGTCTATCAATATTGTTACTTTTCCATTTTTATAATATCCTTTCAGCTATCACTTGCTCACAAAAAAATATTTCAACAAAATGTGTTTTAATTTGAATTTCAAATATACTGATTAAAACAGGCATAAGGTCTATTGCCCTCAAAGCCAGATGATGTAGCACAGTACTAGCTTGTGTTTAAAAATCCCATTATCTAATTCTTTGTGCAGCACAGAACATCTTCCAGTCTTATTCAGATTCATGGTGTGCAATCCGTCTACGCAAGATGCCATTTACAAGCTGGCCTGGGCGGGGAATTATACAATCACCTAATACTACATGTACTCTCCATACCATACGTACCATCTGTCACAATATTGGACAATGTAACGTGTAGAGCAGATTGAGGGGCATTTGGTAGTGATTTCAAACATGTTTGTAGTGCCCCACCTCCCCTCACAAAGTACTCAGTGTGGCATACATTTGGGCATGCGATATAAAAATTATGAAGTTTATCAAAAAAAAAAACTGCTAAAAAGTTTGCATCACTCGCGTACATCAGCCAGTGATACAGCTTGTGACAGAACTTCTACTTATTTAGAATTATTTACACAAAAACCAGCAGGAACCAAAGGAAAAAAAAACTGAAAGCTTCGAGGTGAAATAGGATTAAATAGAATTACACTGATCAGGTTGTTTTTAAACAGATTTACGACACGTAACAACGCGCATTTGTCAGCTAAATACTCACATGGGAGAGTGCGATCAGCACGCTGCCCGCTAATTCAGTTACTCTAATGTCCCAGAGCCAAAACCTTCAAAACACCCAGTGATGTGAGTCGTTCAATGTTTGTGTTATTTCAAACACAGGCGGAACAGGACGCCACTTAGGTCCAGATTAGAAATTTCTAATTGAGCTGATAGTTTGCTCAACCATATAATTGGCATCGAACACAGACAGAAGAGGTAATTTGCATCAATTTCAGACTGCAGTTTTCATATATGGATTCGATTTGTGGACAACAAGAAAGAGCTCAGATCTGAGCCAACCAAAGTTTAACGCACTGCGCTCTGAGCTTCGCAGAAAGATCTTACCTCCATTATATTGTTTAACTAAAATTACTTATATATTTATTTATTTTGAGAGGAGGCTCAAACATTAGCCCGCCTGATTAAAACTTAGTCGTTGAATTTCGACTAAGATACAACATTTGTCTAACGTTGGGTGCCTGCTGAGTATAACATATATCTTGGACATGACTAACCGAAGTCCTTGTCTAAACAAGGAGATATATGACAGTCACACGCGAAGGATGTCTTCATTAACAAGTGTTTTATTGACAGCTTGTGCCAAGAGCGAAAACTTTGAAGTACATATCCAGAACTGCGAAGTACTCAGCTAAAACAGTGAAGTAGCTCAAGTAAAAAAAGGAAATGTCATATTTACAAATGAATATCTATTTGAAAAGAGTTCACACAGGGACTAGGCCCACATCGCTATTAACACGTGTTTTATTATCTGCGTCAAGACCTAAAGGTGTGACTTAACTCTGTAAAGTAAATATGTAATAAATCAAAAAACGTGATCGTTGTTCCAATTAGTAAGATGAAATAATGAGGTTCATCCGAGGTTATTATGACTCTGTGACGTCATACGGAGCCAGAAAACGTGTGAGACTGGCTGAGGTGGGGTTATATGTAACTATTCAGCAATACATTTTGTATGGTGGAAACACTATAAGTAATAAAAAAGTAATAATAAAGTATGGTTCTTATCTACGGCACTCCAATGCGCCTCAGTGTTGTTAACATGTACAGTAATACTTGACTAAATATTTCAGACCAGGTGCTTTATCTCTTCACGAGCCGGGCATGTCGCGATCGTTTTAAAATATACAATAAAAAAATTAAAGTAACACGCAAAATATGGTGACATCTCACTCTTGTGAGAATGAAAAAGACTGTAATTCAACAGAACTACATAGAAAACAACCAGAAAAAAATTCCTTGAAAAAATTCTTACAGCTTTTATTTGTTGACATGCCACATTGCTACATGTTATCTACCATTACATGTACATCCTAATCATGCAAAGTCTCGGTTGATTTTTCACTTAGTCGGAATACTTTCTGGGATTTTCCTGTGGACTAGGGTGCCTTTTATTTGGCGAAAACATACAAAGCGTCAGAATCATAATATTATTTCCTTCATTGCTTCAGGTTGTGATATCCATGCTATGGTGGTTGGGATATTTGGTCTGATGTCCATGAACACTATCGCCGCCATTGCTTTTGAGAGGTACAAAGTCATCGTGCGTTCCTGTCCCACCAAAGGAAGCCGGCGTCAAGTAGCAGTCTCCGTTGTAGTCACGTGGTTGTACTCTATCCTATGGACCCTTCCGCCGATCTTCGGATGGGGTCAGTACATTCTGGAGGGCACAGGAACTTCGTGTACATTCGACTTTTTGACACAAACTTTAGAAAACAGGTTGTTCGTGTTGGCATTGTTCATTGGTGGTTTCGTTGTGCCGTTCCTTGTTATACTAGTGTGTTATTGTAATGTGTTTTACTACGTTCACGCATCAAATAAATTACTTTTTTACTGCAGGACGAAAAAGGCCTTGAAATCAGAGGTGAAGGTGGTGAAAATGACAATGGTAATTCTTTTGCTCTTTTGTCTCTCATGGATTCCTTACAGCGTAGTGGCCCTTATTGGAACATTTGGTGATGCCACTCAAATCAGTCCACTAACAGCCGGTATTCCCGTAATATTTGCTAAATCCTCAGCAATGTATAACCCAGTGATATATACGTTTTATCATCAAGGATTCCGGAGAGAATTACGACGAAGGCGAATATGTGGCCGGTTGTCGGCCCGTTTTTTCAACCTGAGCAGCAGTTTCGCGCAGGAACTTGACGTCATCCACTCCAGGGGTCGAAACTCTTTATCTGTAAGAAGAAGCATTTGTTCGCCATCCGCTGACCATAGTTCTCTATCAAGACCGAGGTTATTCACCACAGATTCCATCTCTTCAAATAAGAGGATATCTCAAAACGGGAATATCTATTTGTCGATTCAATCAAGGCCTACCTCGCCTATGAAAAAGACCCAAACGAGTGTTGAACAGGTTTAAGGGCAGTTGCAGGTGGCGCAAAATAATGTTGGCTCAAAACGTTTGCCCTAAAAGGCCAACTAAGCGCCAATAACTAATATGCGACTGGTTTGTCATTATAATTCTTAAACCTACTCAATAAACTCAAAATTGGTGCTCCATATGGTTTTGTTATTGGCAGCGTGATCATGTACATGTGCATCTTTCGTGTCTTGGTATTCAGATCAGTGAATTTCTTTAGCAAATCGCTTGACACTGATCTATTCCAGTTCGTGTGTCCTGATCATCTATCTTTTTAGATCAAAATTACAAAGTTAACTTTACGTAGTCATCTTTCTGGGTGTACTTGTACATGTAACATTCTCCATAAATAATTTTTCTTTGAGAAACGGGTCCCACTTTTTTCTAGGAATACTTTTGGGCAGGTCCTTCAATTTCTGACATTACTTGGTGCCTGATGTACTTTTTTATTACCAGTCCAGGATTACGCAATGATCTCCTCGTATGCGTCAGCCAGTCTGTGTCTATCAGTGCTTTATGTTCAATAACTATTGCATAATTGGATTTGCGCTCATAAAAACAAAATATCCTTGTCAAATTAATTTCGAAGATCAATTTCATTTTCTCGCCCCATTGTGCAAAACATGATATAATCCAATAACAGTCGTGAAGGATAAGTAAGATTATTCTGCAAAATGCCGTAGGGGGCTTTGAAAGAAATATCAATTAAATCTAAATAATCTTACCTTCATTTTTATAAATATAATTGGATTTTGCTTATCAAAACAAAATGCCCTTGTGAAATTAATTTCAAAGATTAATTTCTTGTTCTAGTCCTATTGCTCAAAATATGATATTATGCAATAAACTTCTGTAGGGATGAACTTGGTTTCTGGGAAAAATTAGCCGTTATCTTTTTAATATCCCATATGCAACAAACACAAGGAAGATAAACGCTAATGTAAGGAAATGCAATATATATTTGAAAAACATCTAAATTTAACCCTGAGAAAAAAATACGTGCGTTTGCAAGAAATAAATACCATTATAAATTGAAAGAATCTGGAGTTTTTCACTTACAATTAAAAGATTGGAAGGTATAGTACAACGGAGATCGTAGAATGACGACATACATTGTGCGCTATAGAGTGAACCATGTACTTGTGAGTCGTGGCAAAAGCATTTTTTCGATAGAATGCAAAGTTAAAGAACTAGGCACAGTCACCAAAAGATACAAGTATACGGTGCAGTGTCAAGTCAGATCACTCGGACACAAAAGTACGCACTGTACGGTGCTAGGGGTCCACATATGACTGGCTCCATGACAACAAATAGGAACTTCATGAAAATGGACTATTTCGAGGACAATGATTAACAACAAAGATATAAACATCTTCGTTGTAAGTAGCGGCGTGGCACAGGCAAGGTACACTATGGGGCCTACCTATGTACCACTGCGATATCAGGCTCCGCCATTATGAAGACAAACTGACGGGTAAGCACAGTAGACAAAACCTCGTGTTTATAAATACTATGTTTATTAAAGATATCACTCGAAATCTACTAAGTAGCTCACTTTATGTCCAGTCGGCTAGTTTTCAACGTAGGCCTACTCGAATATTCATTAGTTTTTCAGTGTTCCAACCAACTTCAGGAGGAGGCGTGTTAATCAGTTCATATGATTACATTCAGCGAGAGTTCCCGTGGACTTAGTGCGCAGTAGCTACATGTAGTTCGATAGATTCAAAGTAAAAACACCCTGAGTTTTCTTTTACTCCGGACCAGAGTGAAAGCAGTCGCCATTGCGATAGTTGTGAAGTGCTGTTGCAATTAAGCAGGCCTAAAAACCTCCTCCGAGGGGTAAGAGCTGTAGTAAATACTGTGCGCAAAGAAAAGAAGCTCACGATTTCAACCAAAAATACATTGCGAAACGTTCGTTCATTTACAGGCTTGATGGCTTATAAGACACAGTTTTAATACTACCATGGTTATTTTTGTGTAGCAGATTGTCTTTCCCCAGTGTGAAACTAGTTTGTCCATAAAACTAAGCCTTAAAGGTATCTTTTTCTGTAATACAATGATATTAAATCACCCATAATTACCGTGAAATTAGGCCATGACCTTCACCTCTGGTGACCTTCAAAATAGTTACATGCGGCACTTATTACTGTACATGTATTAGAAATTTACATTTTATCTTTTGGACAAGAACAAGAATTTCCCGGGGGAGGGGGGGGGGTAATTTTCCGTGAGTTTGTGCTACTGGTGCACCATGGGGCTGGGATCAGCTTATAAACCTTTTCAAACAATTTTTCCAAACTCACTAGGGAAAAAAGTCCATTTAAGGACATAAAGGGACAGTTCTTGAAAAGCGCAAAGTGCGAACATTCCGTCATAACAGGCCCAGATTAGACACTCCAGGTGCAATGCCCTCATTTTTCTAGTAGATGCGATGCCTTCTTTTCTAGACTAAACATGTTTCCTTGGTTTGTTTCTTTATCAGATGTCACTATTTATTACAAATGCCATAAGCTATACACACCTGTCCCGGGAGACAGATAACTTTACGGAATTCCAGACCAAGTGACGCTATGTGCTCAAATATTGAAACTGGCTATTGTCGTCTCTGTTAGATTTCCCCAGAGCGATTCCTACGTGAAGATTTTTGATCACGAATCTTGGAAGTTTTATTTAATAATAGTGTTATATCCATAGGGATGCTTACAACGGTGACCTGATTTATAGCATTTTCCTAAATTTCGTCCTTTACTAAATTTGCGCGGTTACGGACATTGGTTTTTAACATTACATGTAGTAATCATAAAAAATAATAATTCAGGACAGCAGTTAGTTAACAAGGTGTAAAGTACACATACACCAAACTAACCCAAGTTTGGGGTGTTATGCTAGATAAATATGGTATGTTTTAACAGCAAGTACAAAAATAATTGTCCTATGCCGTTTACCTCTTATCGAAGCTTTCTGACCTAATCTGTACTCAGGTCTACAAGATACACCGAATATCAAGGGGGTTCTTTCTAGAAACTGGGGCCTGGACGGTAAAAACGTATCCGGCTGTAAATACATGACTGTGGATAGGTAAACGAAGTCCGGCATTTTTCCAGATATATTCAGTTGAGATGTACATGTATTTACCACGGGTCCATTAATCGAACTCTGCAATGTTCTTGCTTGCGGTTTTTTAACGGAAATGCATAGTTCTTGGAATTTGAGCACAAATGACTTTATTGCTTCTCCCAAGACATTGAATATTTTCAGAATCTAAGGCAATCACCAATTTGTAAGGTGAAAAATGAAGACGGTCAGAAATTGCCTTCAAATTTTATTTATTAATTATACTGCACAAGCAAAAGGCCTACAAAAAACCACTGAAAACTTTTTTTCAAAATAATAATAATAATAATAATAATAAATAAAAAAAATAAGAAGAAGATTTAGAATATCAACGGACGGCAACCCGCTTCGCACTTACAAAAATGTTTAACACAATTTTTGAAAGTAAAGGAACATCTATTAACACATACCCAGAATGTCAAAACTGAAGACGTAAAATTTAGCTAAATATATAATACCCCTTGTAAGTGCTTACGACCTTGAAATTCAGAAACGCAAATTTATAGACTTAACCCCCTCCATCCCCTAAAAGAATCTGCAAACTTTGCTACAAATACGCCGTTTACTGTTTACTGCTCACTCAATCAGCCACCGCCACTGTAACCAAAACATTTAAAGTGCAGTATAATGATAACCTTAAATTATCATCAATTTTACATTTTATTTATGTAAATGTATTTTTTTGAATTAAAGTTATTTCAAAAATGTCCTCGAAAATCGGAAACGGGAAAACAGAACGGCATACCTTCATTGTCATCCTGTCTCGTTGAATGTCGAATTTCACCAGTTGAGATAAAAAAAATTTGTAAGCCTTACGCAACTAGCTTTCTCGAAAGTTCCACAACAAATCAATAGATCTTTATTACAAGTATTCATAAGGATGTTAAAAAGCACGCTATCCGTATTATCTGTAATGTAATGAGCTGAATGATCCTTCCTCGGAGAAAACGGGAGGAAATTGATGGTGAAAAATGCTAGCTCAAGCAGATGCTTGACTTGACTCCATACCAGGCAACAGATTTCATTATCTTGATCAGTGATCAGACATAGGGCAAAATCAACTTTTTTTGGTGTCCCCAACCCATCCCGTTGACATTTGGAAAGCTAGTGTTTGGTGACAAATACGTTACGTTGCTGTTTGTCTCAAATGCCACGTTATTGTAGTGCAATAGACTACTCCAGCAGTGGCAAACTCTTCTTCTTTCTTGAAATGGTCCAAACCGCAAAAATTATTATATATATCATCACTCAACCCCCTTTACCCTGGACGGCGTCCTTTCTGCGTCCCGTAGTACGACCCCTTTTGAGAGTAAAAGCGATGCCTGTGCCTCCTTTCTACGACCGCCAGTTTTATTGTCGCACAAAGGACGCAGAAACGACGCCGTCCAGTGTAAAGGGGGTTTTAAGCAAGTGGGCCATTTGACAGAAAAGCCATCTTCATTTGTTGTTTGTACGGTACCAGACAATCGTGTAAGACTAAAGGCAGAACGTGTCACGCTGTACCGTCTTTTTTTAGATAATTTTCAGTCATTACACGGTTTGTGAATATAGGAAATGCTATCCTTTTTTGCACCAAGAAAAGAACTGCAATCCCGTGCAAGTTCAACACTTCATCGTTAAGCTGCTCAACGAAGTGAGAACAACTGACATTAAAAAACTGTTGATAACCTTTCAATATTGTTGTTGTTGTTACAGCGCTTAGTACATGTATTTGCTTTTTAGATATTCATTTACGAAACTCCTACATGTGAAGACAAGGAATTACATGTAACACATGGCCCCAATCCAATAAGTTCATTTCCCTGCATCTTAAATACTTGGATTGCAGGCAAAGACTGGTCAAGCAAAAAGGGGTTCTAAACATCTTAGTCCGTATGATCGACTGCGCCCCCCCTTGTTCAACAGTTTCATAGGTGTTTGTGCTATTTTGTTTGTGTAACAATATTTATTAAATACCCAGAGCAACTTATTGCGAGTCGATAAAAACGGAAAGGAAATGAGTGGAATTTGATCTTGTTAAAGATAACTTATCCCAGTGACATAAACGTAAATATGAGCTTGCTAAGAGCTGCAACTGCAAATATTGAGTTAATTATAGAGCTTTCTATCAACGACATTCGTGGAAGTAACAGTACACATGTACCCATTACATATCAGTACATGTAGTACCTACATCACTGAGAAGGAGGAGGTGGTAATTCTCATTGAAGTTAGTGGCTCCATGTGTGAAATTACCGCACTTTTAATTCCCGCTCGTCTTACTTAATATCGTTGGGGAAATGCTGAAGGTTGTCGTAAATTCCAAGAGTGTTTCCAAATAATTGTTTTGTGGAGGAAAGACATACATTTCGACAATGTTCTACATACTTTTTTACACAGTAGTATCACACTGTGGTATTGTCTATTTTCTCGTGAGTGTTCGAGATAATTAAGTCACATTAGGAGGAGCTGAATTAGAAACAAAATGCTTTCAAACCTACTGATGAGAATAAATAGATTCCAAATATCCACCAGCTTTAAGTTAGACATGCAATCAAAGCTAAGGACGGAATAAAATGGTGAATAGATCTCTGGCTTCTCTAACACAGTTTGGTCACCTTTTTCACGCTTACGGTAAAAGTAGTCTTAGCCAACCCCAGGTACAATAAGTCACTTTTCTATCCTAGTTCAGGGGGAATTAATGATCTGCTCTACAATTGCCAGACGAGCGAAATCGCATCATAGTGAATATTTTTTAAAGGCATACCCTCTAGAGGCTGCCAGACAACCCCCCACTCCCCCAGGAAAACATTTAAAGCCAACACGAAGCCCAAGAAGACGCGAGGCAATGGCCATTTTATAGGAGTTTCTGTGTGGTGACATGTCTCCACTCCAAAATTATAATTGATAAAAGAACTGATGGATCAAAACTCCACAACGCTCTACCTCCTTATTTCCGACTTAATCGAATTATCTTGATCGGAAGAAGAAAACCAACTGTTATACTGACAACAGCCTTTCTGTATTTCACTCATCGCTAGGCTCAGAAATGTTTTTTTTTTTTTTTGCATGTTTTTGAGAACTTTTGACAGATGATGTAATTAATTAATTAATTAATTAATTTAAAGATTGATTAAAACATATACTTTACACCTGTTAAACAACATGATTTTTGTAAGTATCACGTTTGTATTTCGGGATTTCGGACTCTGATATAGTATTTCGAAATTATTCCTCGAGTTGAAAGAAAATCAATCCATTTTGTATTCTTCTACACATGACAACAAACACAACAAGTCAGACATCGTTCATGGATTAATTTTCATAACGGTTGTTTTATTCCTTATTAATACTTAGATATTAGCATATCTACATCTACATTAAATACTACAAAATTTGCACCAAAAAGAAAATCATTAACGCAGTAACTCTCATTGGACTGCGGTAAGCTAGAAAAGTTATCAGCAGTTTACACTAAACAAAAATGAAATGACTGGCAAGAACAATTTGTTATATTTAACTAAAACACTTCACATAAGATCTTTAATCGGCTACCATATCACTCAATCTCCCATATAATCTTGCAGTAACAAATTTGAACCATAATTTTCTATAAAGCTATGAAAAACACACCGAATCAAATAACAGTGTATCAATGTTCAAAATACTATAAAAATACAAAGTTAGAGGTTTCTAGCACTGTTTAAAAATATTCATAAAAACAGAATACTGCTGTAGGTAAACAATGAAACAACAAGAGATTTCCGAAGCAACACACATATTGGCCGATGATATTTGCAAAAAGCGTCTCAAAATAGTTATTGTAAAAATAAGGGGGATTAAGCTTGGAAAGATCCTTGAGTGATTATCCAGTTCTACATAGCATTTCGATATTATTAATCATTTTTCTTCTGTGTGGCTAAACATGTCATACTAAAAGGGAAAATTAACCATAAATGACAAAAAAAAAAAAAAAAAAATCACCTCTTGTATTTAAATTAGGACCCGCTCTATATTTAAACAAAAATCGAACAATTATTTTATAAAACGTCCACGACACCACACTATACACCAGCGATAAGCACCCAACTTTGGTGCTGTTAGTAATTACAATTTTTGAATTCCAACTGATAAAACAGAAACACTGGATTCAAATACAATACATGAAAAGTTCTGGGAGTTCCACAATGTAGCATTGTCTGTTAAATAATTTCCATCCTTGTATGCACCTTGGTTTCACGGGGACTGAAAACAAAGTCAGCTCCTATTGCTTATCAATTACTCATGACAAGCAAAAACATTTATTATTTCTTGTACTTTTTCCCCTCGAGCAAGTGAATTACTCTCAAGTGTAATATCGATTCCAGGAGTAATTTTATATCTGGGTGTAGTCATGCCTCTTGGTAAGCACCCAAATTTGGAAGATTTCACGAGTGTGTTAATTCCCAGTGTGTGTGTTAGTGATACTTGTCTCCTCAATTTAATTATCAAGTCTCAGGATGTTCAGCATCGTTATCTTCCGATAAACAGCTGATGATGCACCATAATTTCCGCTCTGTTGCATATATCCGTTGCATTATGTCTCATCTTTCACTGTTACAACGCAGTAAAAAAGTTGAGGAATGTACTTGGACCCAATCCAGTTACATGTACATGTATAACGCGTGTTAACACACGTGCCCAATGAACTGTGCGCACCTTTTATCACATTGTATAGAGTATATCTGTTTGCTTTCAGTATGCACGTAGAGCTTCGTATCAGTAACTATCACAATCTAGCTTCACGGCCAATTCATGTATTCATAGTTAAATACCTTCTGACAAGTCTAAGATATAGGGAAGCATGCAAAATGGCTCGTCTGTCATTGTTTTGGATATGAGGTACCCGTTTTATGGAAGGATTTCGAAAAGCCTCTTTCCCATTCATGGTACTTCCTAGGTGTCTGGTAACGCCGTGGTAACACCGCAAATGAGTTATGTTATCGGCACACCCCCTAGTAGACGCCACTAATGTCACTTACATCACTCTGTTTATCTGAAACAGACCAGAAATGGACCTGAAAACATGGAGCTTAGATGAAATAATCAAAACAAAGGTTATTCTAGCTAATCGGCCTTATCCCCAAAATGAAAGCATTGGAACGTAGGACTGGTACAAAAACGGGAGGATGCGCTGGTACTTACTTTTAGTTATGCTTCCCAACAATAGGTGTCACTTCTTCGTCTTTGAAATAACCGTCCAAGAACTTAAATGCTTCAGCAGTTTCATTTACGTGTTGCCCTATAGAAGAGATGAAGCAAAAGGTTGGAGAAAGCTAAGCACATGGAACATAATAGTATCACAAGAGGGGGAAATAATAAAGCTTATACATAACTACCCTTTACCTGAGAAAAACACAAACAAAATAATACGGAACCAAAGCGAAAGTTGTGTTGAAAGAAAAAGAAGGCCGAGATGAAACAAAAGAAATTTCAACAATTAAAAGCTAATTGTAGCGGAGGTCTTAGCCAGACGACCAAATAACAGCACAATAAGCATAAGGTTATAGTCGTCAGTTAGGTACAGTTTAACAACTAAGACTCAACAAAATAAAAAACAGTGCCAAAAGCTTAACAGTTTCTTCTGCTGGGTTACGTAAATAGACGCCCGAAATAAATTCTAAAAATCTACTAAAAAACGCCAAAGTGCCCACTTACCAACGTCAGATTTCGCAGTACCATGACTAGCCCTGCTAATGGGTCGAACTACGCCGATATGATTGGGGGACGCTTGCTGTTCTTGTTCTTCTTCTCCTTCCTCTTCGCTTTCATACCCGAAATTATACGCACCACCGTCTGTATTAGTATTTTTCAGGAGTCTTGCTCTGGAACCAGGCGTCCCTAGCGACGAAGACTCTATGCTGTGTCGGGGCATGTCAAATAAAGCACTGTTATCACGTATTGTGCCGTCTGGAAATACAACAAAAAAACAAAATGTGCCAATGTTCAATTAACTTTCATGGGCGGACCCAACGCAAGATGGCGAATTTCACGCCTCATGATCAGAAAGGATATCAACTTATAGAAATTTAGAAAGAAAATAACACATCTGACTTAATATTTGTAGACAATTTACGGAAAAAAATTATTGAGATTTTTCTTATCGTTTTTGAACACACAGTATCGGCATTTTGAAATCGACAGGTTAAATTAATTATACTTTAAGAAAAAAAGAGGAATATTGAGGCATTACCAGATATAAATGTTTCCTGTAACTGTGTCTCGAAGTTGGTTTCTAAAGGCACAAATGGCGACCTAGCCTGGTAGAACGCTTTCCCAGGAGGGGGCTGCAACATACTGCTATTGGCACGGCGAACAGGTTGACGGGAAACGCCAACTGAAAATGGAGACAGCGCACCTTTATTTTTTCCTTTAATACGCCCTGGGTTATATGTTAACCAGTGGATCGAGGCAGGTGATTTTTCAACAGAGGAAGTCAAATCTGAAGCCTATTTATGTGAAAGATATTATGATCGTCAGAACGAGGCCATCACGTAGGTTTGTAGCACAGGGTCAGAGAAAATTATTATTTCTATTATTTTTATCGTTTTTTGCATATTTAAAAGAAAATCTCATATCTAGTATGAGCTTGTGTTTTCGAGCCAACGAGTGCCAACTTCGTTTTCAAACTTCCATACATGCCCGGCTTGTCGCATCTGAACTTTGGTGGCCTTTGAAGTCTACCGCGCCAATAACATGTTTGACGGGTCCATATAAAGATGTCACTTGTCTCTGTACTAAACCACGAAATCATGTTGACCGGATGCATGTGAATGCTCGCCTGTGCATGGCACGACCCATCAAACAAATATGCCGCTGAATTTTGAAATACCGAATCCTTGGAACACATGGACGTTTATAATTGGTTTGTAGTTTGTAATTAATGAAGAAGCTGACTCTCATCTGACCTGACGCTCAGTGTAATGTACTATACAAAATAGTACAGCTATTTAACAGCTATATAATTAGTCAGTGTCTATGATTAAGTTTCAATAATTTTAAGCCCATTTTGGCCGAAACGGTTACAGAAAATTGGGGTTCATACATTAAATACATGCTTCGGTTTGCTTAACACGAATTCCTACTCACGTGTATCTAATCTTTGCTCTGAGTGCGCCTTCCCGCGCTCCAAGTTCTCAAACCCGTGGAATCCCCTGTGGAACTGCTGGTAGGCGGGGTTGGGTCCCACAGCGTACATCCCCGGGTTGGAGCCCCACCTATTCATACCGGTGGGTAGAGAGCCCCCGTAAGGGTCAGAGGATATCCAACGGCCGCCGTGGTGGGGTTTTGTAAGACTGGATACGCTCCCGTGAACAAGGGACGGTTCCACTGAGGGAAGGTAGCTACCGGGGTCGTAGAACTGGCGGTGTTTCTGGTATTTCTGCTTTGATTTAGGTCTGCGGATTGAAAACAGATACTGGCATTTTATGAAAAGTGATACGACAGAATGTGTTGCTTGAAGGTTAAAACGATACAAGATGGAGCTATGGTCCTATTTCATGCTATATTTGTTGATATAGTTTTGCAATCAAGTCTGTTAATCCCAACCTGAGCTTCAGAGATAACTTGAAACAAACATCTACACTATAGCAACCCTTGCCTTTTCAAGCTCAGGGTGGGTTGTTCAGGCCCAGGCATATCTCTTCTGCTTGGGAATTTGATTACATATACATTACTTTAAAAAATATTTTGGATTAAGAAATAAGTATGCATCATATTTACACTTACCTGCACGCTAAATAGCACAGAAGAATGAGCACAATGATCAAAATCACGCCTCCGATAACCCCGCCTACCAGCACGCCAATCAAATCGGATTCTAACGCCATGTTGACTTTTTACTGAGACCTGCAAAAATGAAAGAGATATTTGATACTGAAAATTATACGACAATGGTGGACAATGGGAACACGAAAAAGCTTTCAAAAAAGAAATGTTTTCAAATAGTACAGCAGGCTTGAAATAACGCGTAAATATTACTTGTAATATGATTCTTTTCCTAACGCACAATGTCAAGAAAAACCCACTGGAAATGGTTTTGAATTAAATGCTATTTGTGTATCTATCTAAGATTAATTAAAACTAAAAATTCTTGATAAAAACAAATCAAAATCATTCTGTTATAAGTCTATACTTAAATTATAGGATTATTTCTAATCGCTGTAGTTAAGTCCCGATTTTATCATAGCTGTATTAACCTGCATTTCAGCCCATCGTGAAAAGCAAATAAACCACCTTTCAAAAAAAATGTGCATAAACTAACACAGAGGTCTGTGCATACGGTGATTCATGTGAGATACATTAGCAAAAGAATGGTCATTTGCACTGAGCTGACATGCCAATAAATATACAAATGCCACATATGAAATACATGTTACTAAAACATACTGGTCCCCCCTATGTGTAAAGCATTAATTTATATTGTGGCACTTCGGTGACAGTTTCTTACGTAAATGGGGACAGTTTTCACACATGCGGTAATTTTGTATGGTACTGATGGAATGGCAGGGGAATGCTATTAATGCAGCAAACAAAGAAATTGTATGTCATTCCAATCTTTCTTTATGCGGGCAGGGCTAAGCTGAGGTGAGATCTTTAGAACGCGGACGGTGTGATCCCTGACATATGTTCGGTGTCCAGTTAATGTATGTCAGGTGTGGACAACAGGAAGCACCACTTGTCATAGCTCAGTTGAGCTTTTATGATGAATATATAAACTCTCATGAAATGTTTTCAACTTGTCGACCATTCAGAAAGGTAATTTAAAAAACGAAGAAACTTATGAACAAAGACATTTATACATATTTGAACTTGTTAAGTATTTAATGGACATAATTAATGGAATAATTATAGATATATAAAATTACGGGTTATATATTCAGTTCAAATTAAGCTAAAGTGCGCTAAACAAAGGAATAATAAAATTGGCGAAAAATTACAGAGTTGTGAGTCAAACCAAAGAATGGGCCAAGGTTAAGAATTCAACATGTAATCGTTTTATGTTTTGCCGAAAGCAAAACTTGGTATACACATATCTTTACAATTATCATATGTTTGGCAGCTGTCAGAGCTCATGAAATATAAGTCAAATTTTCCAGTGATAAGCTAAAGCTGAGTTCCTTTTCTTTATAATCTTAAATAAAACAGAAATAGAAATATTAACCGAATACTACTTGAAAGACTTGCATCCATTAATTTTAATTAATATATTTAAAATTTACTAGTGTATATTCACACCTTCAGATCTTTAGACACATGAGGTAAGCTGGGAAATGCTCTTTGAAACATTTAGAATTCAGACGATGATTTCAATAACTGAGAAAAAATCTTATTTCACACTGGCGGATCCTAATTTTGCATAAAAAACTCTTCACTGATTGTTTACATTGAAGATATTGGGGAAAAATAGAATTCTATTATTGGAGCACCGTACAAAATAGTGGAAATGATAAATCCGTCAAGGCCACAATAATTTTCATTTTGATTAAATTAACTAATTTTGCGTGTGACTATTAATAAATTTGTGAAATTTAACCCAATATTGCAAATGCAGCAAGAGGCCCTGGATCCTGGGAGCTAAAGTGACATTTACTTTATTTAAATAATTATTTTCATTTGTAATAAGAAATCAGATATTACCTGTTATGTGTTATTTAAATCAGACCACTCAGGGGCCTTCCTCCGTCTTCCAGCACGATGTATGCTGGCCAAACCCCTCCTCAGTCGTCTCTGTACTACTGTTTACGCACTGGTAAAATATCCCTCCTTATTATACATGATTTCACAATATAAATCCGATAACGAAACTTATAGCCCTCTCTCAGAGGCTAAGGCGGGTCTCTGTGTCGTTACACTGCCCAGAATCATTTGACCGGCCACACTTATGTTGTAACCGCCCTCTTGACTCACTGGTGATGGGTGTGGTACATGTAGTCACTTGTATGTAAAGATGTCCTTTGCAGGTCTACTCTCTCCTCTCTGCTCCTTTTTATCCCCAACAACTACAAACAGCGTCTCCCTTGTGGCTTTTAGGATCTACGAGGAAGTTAAAACGCGGCGTTACTATGTTAACGTCAGCTTGAAATCATCTTTGACCCCACGAACCCTGAAGAAGTTACCGCTTCTTCCTGGTAGTGTCTTTATAACACCCCGTATGTGTTGAACTTCACTACACTAAGTCCGCACCAGGCAATGTCTACCTGTGCTCGGTATTAACATAACAATCTCCCCACAGTCACCGCCCTATTGTTTGCCTTGGGCACAATGCTCACAACTCGTCTATTGTTCGTCGTGTTTAGGCTTCGTTTACCTGCATTCTTTATGCCAACTAAAGGATATTATAGACCCCTACCGGCTCGCATTTGAAAAATTTGATTCCTTAATATCAGAGGTGTTATTTTCGCAGGGGCGAGGGGTACGTGTAATTTATATTCCAAGCGCTTTGTTGGGGAGGAATCCAGTCATGAGTATTTATAATACAGATTTCTAAACGCCTCAACCGTCTCATTGCAATAGGTTTGGCGCGTGCTGTCACCATCGCTTGTGTTTTGTCTTCTACTGTCCGTCTTTAACTTAATTTTGGACACATTATTACTCATGTCCATTTTTTTCTAGATAATGCGAATCTGCGACAGACGGGGACCATGCTAAACACGGTGGAAGAGCCCGTTTTTCACAGTCCGAAGATACTTTTAGGCCTATGCTCTTGTAAAAGAGATTGCGTCAAGATTATGTTTTTTTACATTTTTCTTCGTGGGTATGTGTAATGTGAGGAGGCAAGAGAGACGGAGGCTAGCACAATCAGGCATTTTGACCTACGGGGTACAACCAACACCTCACTTTACTTACAACATTTACACTTACTCAAGAAGAAGAAGACGGTTAGATTATCATTTGCGAAATGTCATGCAATGTCTTTTATGAGAGACCTTTTTTATTACATATATAACCCGGACCCCCCCCCCCCCCATACATTAAAAAAATCCTTTATAATAAACCATCAGGATGAGCAAAATTTTCATTTGCTTGGTAGTTGCATCATAAATGAAAATTATCAAACACAAGTCGAAATATATTCGTACCGTTAGCTTACGGCCAACTTGGGCGTAATTTACCAGCTAACCATGAATTGGGACGGGGGGTCGATCTACCTGACATTTATAAGAGTATCCTGGCCGCTGTACCACCTAGCAGTCAGTGAGTGTCAACATCTACTCACATCAGTATGATGAAGGCCTTCGCCCATGTTGGTCGTAAGCTAACGGTATGAAAATATTTCGGCTTGTGTTTGATAATTTTCATTTATAAAACACCAGGAGAGGGGCACAATGGGCTCACATCACTGGGTAACGGAATGTGTATTACTGCTACGGAGATTCCCAGGTTCTAGGTCTTAAACTATGCACAGAATGAAATGCCACCATGCTGAAACTTCAATAGAATGTATTTAGCTGAACAAAACTTTACATGATACAAGCAATGTCAAATCCAAGCTTCAAGGTTCCAGACATCTCCATTCTATAGTCTTTTCCATCTCTAAATTTGAGTTCACAGAATTTTATGCTTAACTTTTTGCTTAACTTTATCAATTAAATTGTCAATCGAATAAATCATAAAGTGAGTGGTTAATTCAAACACAAGTCCACCCCCTCCTGGCGGGCACTCCCGATAAATCCATGTGATCAAGATCTAACGGATTATTATTAAATTGAAACAAAGCACATTAAAATTTGAACTGTTAGGTGTGAAATATTACCTAAAGCTATGTACTTATAGACTATTATAGCTTTCCCTGATTGAATTATTACCACGACAAGTATGTAACATTTAAATACATTAATTATTTTTTTTCAATACTGTGGTCCCTGACACCATGTCCCTTCCACACCAGAGACACTGCTGTTTCCCCGAGATAACCTAAAAACGATTTGCTGGACTGGACCATCAGTGTTTCGTGGAAAGACGGACCTACACTGTGCGTTGATAAAGACGGTCATGTTACGTCTTCATTTCGAACGCACTGTCCCACCTTAATTTATACTTACTGCTTCAAGCGGATTAGCTACCCGATCTAAATGTGTTGATGGCCTTTGTTTCTTATACATTAACACTAAGAAAAACTCCGAGAAAAGAAGTCTAAGGAAAGAAAAACTGAGCGTCATGAAAATATTAAAAGATATAAAAGGGAGAAATTTTCAAATAATTAGATATATGTATGGTGTGTGTGTTTTACATGTTTAACTGATAGTCTAGGTGCATTATTATTATTATTATTATTATTATTATTATCATTATTATTATTATTATATCATCTACTTCTGTAGGGTTAAAGATTAATTATGTATTAAGAAGTACTACAGACTTGACATTTAATATNGCCCCTTGAGAGCGCTGGTAGCAGACAGAAGAGGTCAAGCGTAACAGCGACCGTTACTGTGACTAGACACTGACATGGGGGTTCTTTGTGAGGCGTGTAACTCTTTTACAGAAAATAATTTGGAAAATATGGAGATCCAAAATATCTCTTTTAATTGTTGTCGTATGACATAGAATAGGCAATGTGTTTTTGTTTGCTTCTCTGGCGAATTCCATTAATTAACTGAAGACACAATGACATCAAAAGGATAATTAAAAGTTATTAAAACCCAATTTTAAGCCTTATTTTCATTTATCAGTCAGCAAAATAGGAAAAAACTGATGAAAAATGATTTGGAAAAAAATATTCCATATTAAATGTCAAGTCTGTATATTAGACATTACAAGATGCAGAGATTAATGTTTGAAATGAAATATCTTAATTATCTTGGTTTATTCATATCCGATTGAATGAATCATTTCGCTGACAATTTTTCAGTGTGGACTTGGTTGTTTACACAACCGTGCATTAGACATGCCTAACATATATGATCACTTTCATGCCCAGAATGAAATTTCTGCCTTTTTTCTACTCTGTTGCTGTAATTTTTAGATTTCTTTTTAATGCGTGAATATGTTTTTAAATAAGACTTTGTTGAAATAGCTTAAAATTTGCTCCTTTATATTGTCCTTGTTTATCATCAGCGGCACACGTGTACATCCTGACTTCATTACCGTAGTAGCCTTCTCTTACCGCCGACTACCAGAACTGGTCAGAACGCCTCCGGGATTTATAAGTAATGTTTTAAACTGAATAAATAAATAGATAAATAAATATGTTTATAAATAATGTTATAAATAATGTTTTAAACTGAATAAATAAATAAATAAGAATTATGATCTTTGCCAACGGCTGTTGGAATTAATTTTGCTTTGCATTTAGGTATATAGGTATATCTAGAAATGGTGTTGATGAAAAAAAACTTTCAGACGCATATGTGTAATCATCGTTGGCCTTTGTATATGAAATCACAATGAGACATTCATAGATATTTCCACAGATATGGCACACGGCGTTATTATTTCTAATATCGATACAGTGAGATAACACGCACTGTTATGTAAACTATTGGATTGAATCGAGATTTGGCTTGGTGCATGTGATAGTGATACAGATTGTTTGGCCGATTCCAGCGGTTTTCCGTCCAGTATTTATATAGAGGATATGTTTAAATCCAGAGCTACAGTAGATAACCAGTACATGTGATTATTGTCGCACAGTGACGATCACGGCTGCGCCCTTTTAGCCTTCGTATGTTGAACACGTGAAAAGCCAAGCACTCAGACAAGTCAAGCGGCCGTTCTTGGGCAACAGAAACAAAAAAAATGGCTTCCGAGCGAAGCGACTCTTTAACGCTACCAGTAACGGAGCAGAACGCAGTCGCTGGCGGGCAAGAAGTTCAGTTTCGGTCAACGGCGAAAGTACAATCTTTCCAAAATAGCGCAGACGCTGACACCCCAGACGCCACATATGACGAACATCTGACAGTGGGCAAAAAATCAAAAGTAGAGGCCGAGTTGAACGCCAGACTCCTCTACAGCCAGCGGCCATCAAAGGCACTGACCATCTTAAAATGGCTTGTCACTTTTGTCATGTTTGCCTGTGTCACTGCCGCCATCGTGGCGAGCAAACTCTCTGCAGTCTACATAGCACGAGCAGTCAACGAAACCTTCCAAGACGCCAACAGCACCGGTTTTAACTTGGGAAAAATTAACCCAAGTTACCCAAGAAGGAAAGACGTTGCACCAACAGTTCCATCACAGCATTCGGATGGCAACAAATTGCGCCAGGAGGTTGCGTTTTTGATGGTGATCCTGACAACCATGTTCCCGTACCTCGTGACCCTGGTGGTGGCGGTGTGGGTGGGGTCCTTCAGGCGGGACATGCCCTGGCCCTCAGGACTGGCCGTGTTCTGGGTAGGTGGTTCAATACGGACATTTTCTATAGGGTCCCATAGGACATATGTCCTAGATTGGAATCATGTAGGGCGTGCAATAAAATCCCCATACAGCCCAATAAAGTTCTGTATTCTTTCTAAAGAGTCCCATATATCCTGTATTATTCCTATCGATTCCTGCAGAGTTTTGTAGGAATTGTTTTTTTCATGGGATTAATTTTACAGAGTTGCAAACATTCTTATCTGGACCTAACTCGTTATTTCTGTGTGAATGGTGTAAAACCAATGTGTAAAATAATGTGAAATCGATGTCTTTTGAAAAACGAAAAGCTTTCGAACCACTGAAAATCGTCTGTGTCACCTGGCATGTAACGCATGCGCAGACGCCCCCTCCTCTCCTTGCCCAGTTATCTACTGTCAGTGTATCTCTGGTATCTTATCATCATGTATATGTACCTGTCACGATATGAAGCCAACTAATAGTGATAAAGACTGTCAATTTCTGAAAATACTTCAAAATGCCCATTATATTATTTATGTGGGCTTATTAGTCCAAAATTGTTTAAAGGTTGTCTGTAAATAGCTGCCGCAAGTGCTGTATGCCCACTTTGCCCAGCTAATTGTCAAACAGTGACGCCATGATACATGTATGCTAGTGGGAGTCATATGTGCTTGTATCACTTATCTGTTGTTACATTTTTCCGCTTGCTATTTTTTTTTCAGTCAGAATTTAAGTTTTTTAAATTATGTGCTATGTAGACAAAAATAGTTTCACTCAGTACGCGGGAAGAAAACCTTAAAATGTCTAACTTTTCTTTATGTAAATGATCGGCTTGTATTCAGATGGCACCCGGAATACATAGTAAACAATACTTGCATTGGCATGGAAATAATTATGGGCGGGGCATAGAATTTAAATCCTAATCTCCGTAGACTGGTGCTTTATGTAGTTTGTGAGGGGTAATAGTTTTGGTATGGGTCATTGTCCTCAGGGTAGGGACAGAATGAAGGGGATAGTTTATGTCCCATTTACTGAAAATACCCAGTAGGCTTACATGTAACCATTTCAGATAATATCTTTAGTTATATATCTCTTCCTGCCAAAAGTGAATGCATTAAAGCGTAGCTGAATACAATTGCAGGGGATTGTTGGCAGTATTCTGGAGGTAACCGGATTGCTTCTACTTTGTCTTATCACTATGAGGAACTACAATCCAATTGTGGCTGTCTTCTTGATGAACGGCGTCTTTTTCATTCCTATCATCACTAGTCTTGTGAAATCATTTCGTCGTCTGGAAACAACCAACAAAATCCATTTTTTCGCCTTCCTCTTTGCATTCTTCATGGAGGTCGGTGGTATGGTGACATCCATGTTTCAAGGCTACACCGACGTACATGTTCCTGAGCGTCTATCCTGGGAGACACCTATCGCCATGTTGTTCCTTTCCTTGGCTTGGTGCCCGCTAATACAGAAAGCTCAATTATATCCACAACGAAGCGCCCACGTGGAGTTTGAAATGTCGCGGAACATGACCCGAAGCACGATTGCCTTACGGCAATCTGGAGTTAGAATGCAAGCTGCCAACCACAGTCTCTCGCCAGATGGCAGTTATATCGATGATCAAGACATCCAAGCTTCGCCACACACAGCCTCTATGCGAAGTGGCGAGTTTGGGGCCAGCACTGTAAACATAGATGATCTCATTGACGTGATGCCAAACAGCAGCGCCCGATGGAAACAAAGTATTCTCACAAGCATCTGGAAACTTGTACTTACGCCGTGCATAGCCTTGGCATTTGCTGCACTGGCCGATATACACTATGATCCCGATGTGCTGTCAACTCTTTTTACCTTCATCGGACAGTACAAAGGGTTTGATATCAACACGTGGCACAGCAACCTGGTGATTTACTTCATACTGAACATCACGTGCAGTTTTCTGGGGTATATACTGTCCCTGTTTGCCTGCATGATGTGCATGCAAAAGTACGCATTTGCCCTGCCCCTGCTTCTCAGCACTCCTTGTGCCGTCGCGTTTTTGGCTATAAGGACATATTTAGGCAAGAACACTCACGATGCACGCGTCATTGACTTCGAAAAATCCTTGTATTGGCAAGTTCCTGCAGGGGTCGCTTTGTTCTTGGCTCAAATATTATCAACAGGAGTTTTCATCTTCAGACACCAAATTGTCGTGATGGAAAAGGAGCCTTTTGTAAGTAAAACTACTTACTGGTATTATACCATTCAGAATACATATTGCAATGCGCCACATCAATCAATAATGTTTTTTTAAAAATAGAAGCAATTGCCACTAACTAAACCTTTAATTTTCACTCCTATTCATTATGCGACTAGTTCAATATTATCTATTGATAAGACACATTGGTCATTACTACCTAAGCGTGTTATACCTAAGTGCCTTTTTAATTTTTAACAATCTTTTTAAAGCTTTTCTGGCTTCCGGGTTACAATGCTACTCTGCTGGAGCAATGGCTACAGCTTTCCCGCAAAACAACGCAGAGTATGTACCGCTACGAGGCGCCACTGGAGAGAGCCAAGAGGACCCGAGTTTATATCTGCACAACTATGTACAGGGAGGTAAAGTTCTGAGTCGAAAAGAATTATCAACCTTCAGAAGTGTTATGAAATTTAGATAAAATGCGACATTATGACACCCATATCCTTTCTGCAACTCGATGTTTCACATGATGGATGAGAAATAGCAATACTAATGCATAAACAAAGCATTCTTTTAAGAGAAATAACATTTGACCTGCTTATAAAAATTACCAAATTTGTACTATTGTCTATTGAAAGTTGCATATTGCTCCCTTGAGAATACTCCTATTAATATCAAAATATATTTTAATATATTTAAAAAATATGCTTTATTGCTTTGAATATTATACATATTCGTATGTTTATTGATGACTGTTAGGCTGACTACGAGATGGAACAGTTTCTTCGATCACTAGAATGTATCAACCGTGCTCAGGCGGGCCTCGACAGACATTTTGAGGCACATATCTTCTTTGATGCGGCAGTCCGCGATAAGAAAGCGTCAGATTTTCTACTTCAGTTGGTGTCATTGGTAGAGACTGTCCTTGGTGAGTAAAATACTTAACGCGTGAACGTAAAACAGATGCCGCATCCAACAAATTGCTCCTCAGTGACACGCCTCCTTGTACACGTTGTGTCAATTCTATTCTGGCACAACTAACACACTAAATGCCACGCACATAGCTTTGAATTGTATCACAACGATCGGCCTGATGGATAAAGGTTATCTCAAAAAGAATTATTTTGTCTCTCAACATAGTTTCTCAATAAGTGGAAATAGATTTTAATATTTTAATAGTAAACTACAATTAAAAACGCACGAATGCGTTTAAAAATGACAACCGTTGACATGAATGTCTGAACTGAAAAACACTTTGCTCCCTACTACCTTCCACCAAGTTACATTTACTACATACCAAACCAAACATATTCTGTCGTGTTCACAGATTCACCGACCATAGAAGCCACACGGCTGATGACGCCCTATGGGATGAGTATGTCTTGGCAGTTGAGAGCGCCCCCTGGAAAACGCGGAATGGCGTTGACAATCCACTTAAAGGACAATTTTAAGGTAGGCGTAATACTTGATGTTAATTAATATTTGCAACACCTTCAAGCGTCCACTGAATAATGAAGTGACTCAATATTAAATTAAGATATAACTATCAACATTGAAACATTTTATGTAGTTACAGAATTTCATTACAGGTGAAGAATAAAAAACGTTGGAGCCAAGTCATGTACATGTCGTATGTCATGGACTTCTTGATGAAAGCAAACGACGACAGTAAGGCATATATACACATTTAACGCATATTCAAAGTTTTCTTCCCGAAATAAATAAAAAATTTAATGAAACAAAATGATTTTAAAGTAAATAACGAATTCGACCCAGCGGATAAAATTCCATAATTTAAGTAACGCATTAAATGCATATATTATTTCAGTGTCCGACCACGAAACCTTCATTTTGACCACAGACGCCGACGTCAAGTTTTCCACAGACTCCGTGGAGGCGCTACTGGACAATATGGTCCGTGACAACAACGTGGGGGCCGTGTGCGCGCGCACTCACCCCATGGGCTCAGGGCCATTGGTGTGGTATCAGACATTTGACTATGCCATCGGGCACTGGTTTCAGAAGGTGCGTACCGGTATCTAATAGTGCAGTACCTAATGACTACATGTATTATTTGTCAGTAATTCAATTTACATTTAATGGCACCATTGTAATTGCATTTATTCGTCGTGACATTTCTCTTGCACACGCTTACCAAACTTACAAAGTTTATATAATTAGAAAAAAAAAACGCACAGCTAATTTTGTTGGGAATTCTAAAAGATACCGCGTCCAATTTGCTTCCTATTCTGAGCCTAAGTCGTCAGCACATTTAGGGTGTGAATCAGGTTTAGATTCCCTCTCTCGCATCTTGATGTAGGGTGAAGTCCCGGGTGGAGACAAATATTGAATATGTTGCTGGTACCGGATAGTTTGAACACAATTGTCAAAGTGTCATCTCATGGCATAAGTGGGTCATTGATTATTCACCAGGCTGCCAACGACGTCCTTGGAACAGTTCTGTGCTGCCCAGGCTGCTTTAGTGTGTACAGGGTGGCCGCACTGCGAGATGTCCTGCCCCTCTACTCGTCCAAGGTGACCAAGGCTGACGAATTCTTGACCAAAGATATGGGTGAAGACCGGTGGCTGTGTACGCTGATGGTGCGTCATATTTCACTTGCACATCTGACGCAACAGATGGAAACACATAGATAAAACACCTTAGATTTGTACAAGCGTACAGCAACACTACACATCGGCCATAAATACATTTTCCAAGATCCCTGTACATAGATATATAATTTAGTCAGGGAGGTGACAGCTATATTACGAATATTTATACAGTCATACATATAAGCAGTGAACAAAAATGCGAGATCACAGCATCGTATGCAGAAATCTGTAAAATGTTAACTAATATTGGATATATCGCTATTCCATAGGTACAAGCCGGTTGGCGTTTGGAATACTCAGCCGCCGCCGAGGACAGCACGCACTGTCCTGAAGACTTTGACGAGTTTTTCAAGCAGAGGCGACGCTGGATTCCTTCGACGCTGGCCAACCAATTCCTCATCTTGAAAGACTGGCTCCTTGTCACCAAGTTTAACGACCAGGTCCGTATGTACTTTGCTCTGTACCAAGCTCTGTTGGTGGTTTCCACGCTGCTAGGGCCGGGTACCGTGATACTGATCGTCGCAGGTAGGTTATGTGTGTCATGTGTCATGTGCCTATATGAAATAACGGGCCTGAACACTGTACTCTGATGCCACTTCCTACGTTACTTTTTGTTTCTTTGTACATGTAGTTATCTGTTTTGGCGGTGATCTTGGGCGCAATGTTTTCTATACCGGGACCCATGTTTTATTGACTCGCACTTTTTTCGAGGTTTAAAAACGCTTTTATGAAGCATATAAAAACTTATATAAATCTGCATAAAACACAATTTCCAATTATGATGTTGAGTGGATCGCGATTCTATTGTAAAAGTCGTGCACTTTGAAGAATTTAAAAATCCCTTTTGTGCGTTATAATGTGTGCAAACGTTTCATCAAGTCCTGATTATTCCGCTGTGTAATGAAATCGCTCACTTTCCAGGGGGACTAAACTACTCTCTCTGTCTTAACTTTAACTGGATGGTGGTCTTGTTGCTACTGATTACCATAGCATACGCCATGGTATGTCTTCTCACCACGCAGGAAACACAGCTACTGGTAAGGATAGGTTATGTTACGTCTAGTACACTTTTGGTACAACATTCAACTTATAAGTAATACAAATTTTCGTTTTGTTTTACTTTGGAAACATATTGGTGATATGTGCCCCTACTATGAGTGTCAGGGCACTGTAAAGCTAGATTGCTTACTATACCTTTTCATGTGTTGGCTTCACAGTGTGTTATTGCTGGTGTGGGTTATACAACATTGGTCAAAAGGTTGTCCCACCTCCAGTATCATGTGCTTTTATTTATAAACTNCAATAATCACATCACAAGTGAAAATTGTTATAAATAGTGATTTTCATTCCAGATGCCATAACTAACATGATTAGTGAAACAGAAAATACGAACTAGCGGTGAAGATATCAATATTTAATACCATTTATTCACATTTATTACATGTACCCCCTGAAATCCGACGTTTCACTCTTATTTTCACAGAGGTAAAAAATTCCCGTTAAATTGAGAAGACATCACCAAATGTCACCAAATTTACACACATTTAGCATTAGGGTGTACTAGTTAAAGGTCACGTGTCAAATAGCGAGTGTGTCAACCGCGTGCTGTAATTATCTCCTGAAGGCGGCGCTGCCTACTTTCAACAAGGATAACAATTCTGTTTTGAGGATTATTGTCCCATTCTTCCTAAAGAGCTTGGGGGAGGTGGTTATTAGGAGTTTGGTTCTCCTTCGCATTGCACACGTCAATTCATGCCACAGATGCTTAGTAGGGTTAATAATAGTGACGTTGGAAACTTTTAAATTTCTTAAAGAACTTTGATCACATCTTGGCTAAAACAAAATTGCATCTCATTCTGTAATTGAAGAATATGCCTAGTAATTTGTCCTACTGTAGATCATTTGCCTCAGCAGGTCGTCATGAAGAGAACAAAGCATTATGCCATTGTCCTGCCTAGAAACTTTTATATGTTTGTGCATTATATATGCTATATTTGTTTTCTATAAATCTTTTTGGAAAGGTGGGGAAGATTCTGACGTTCGTATTTGCCCTTATAATGGCTGCCGTCAGTGTGGGAACAGCTGTCCAAATAGGGGAAGATATTGGCAGAGCCACCCATGCCGTTAACCTTACTGAATACAGTACGTATGGTTTAGCAGTGGTAGGATTATGACTATATGACTACGTAGTAGTCCGGTGGCTTAAGGAAAAAATCGTGACACGGCGGATAAAAGCACCAAATTTGGCATGTAGCTACCTTTTGACATTCTAAATCAAATAAGAGCCGTAGCCCTCTCAAACAATTTACCGTTTGGTCAAAAAATCCAAAATGGCCGCCAATTTATGGAATTCTATAGAAATATGCACATACCTATGTTGATTTTTATCAAATAAATTATTTTCTCAGAGTTTTCCACACCCTTATTACCCATTTTATTCATATATGTCAGATAGCAAACAAGTTCCCTTGGACTTTTGAAAAATCCAAGATGGCTGTCATATGCCATAGAAACAGCCATAGGAATATTAGTGCACAACTAATACCAGCTAGAAAGATACGTTGTCCACTATCAAATTAAGTCTGTTTCTCAGATTTTGGTTACCCACATAATATGTTTGTGGTGAGCAACTACGAAGTGTTCTTGGGCATTTTGGAAAATCCAAGATGGCTGCCATGTGCCACAGGAATTCTAGTATACGGGGGATTCAACTAATGACAACTGGAAAGATTAATTTTCCACTACCAAATTAAGTTTGTTTCTGAGTGTTTTCCACATCCTTTCCACCAACACAATATGTATGTGGTGAGTAACTAACATGTATTCTTGGGTATTTTGAGAAAATCCAAGATGGCCGCCATATGTCATAGGAATACTACTGGAATTACAACTGCACATCCATGGTTTTTCATCTAACACCAGGGTGAAATTGTGTTTGCTTATCAAGTTTTGCCCATCCTTATTAGTCCTATTATATATATCTGGTGGGTAAATAGTGTGCATCTTTGGATATTCTGAGAAAATCCAAGAAAGCTACAATTTGGTATAGGAATACTAATGGGTGGGTTTCAATTGCTGCTAGAGAGGCATATGGTTCATTATACAATTACATTACCATGGGTTTGTTTTAAAAATAATTTATGTTTTTCATTCCATTTATAATTACCCCTATGATATATACCTGGTCTGTAGCATGTGTGTATCTGTGGGTATTCTGAAAAAAATTCAAGATTTCTGCCTTTTGTCATAAGAATATTCGTACACATAATCAAAAAATTCCAGAAATACACTGAGTACAATTTAAATGTAGTTAACTTTAGATCGTTTTAAAATGTTTTTCATATCCTTTTTATCCTTATGAAAGATTCATTGTGTGTAGAAAGTGCATGTATCCTTGAGTACTATTCGGAGAAAACCCAAGATAGCTGCCAGTTGTCATAGGAATATATCATTCAAATGCACATAGGTGTCAATTCATGGAACAGTTCAGACATTGATTCCAACATGAAATAAAGCTGTTAGATATTCAGACATGTTCACATCCTTATTAACCCTACTCTATATTAATCTGATGTGTAGCAAGTGTGCATCTTGCATATTTGAGAAAATTCAAGATTGCTGCAATTCACAATAGGAGTAGCACAGTCAACTACTGCCAGAGAGACATTGGGTTCAATATAAAATTAATTTTGTTTCTCGGTATTTCCCACATTCTTTTTGGACTTTGAGATATCTATCTGGTGGGTAACAAGTGTGTACCATTAAGTATTTTGACAAAATGCCATGATTACCCTCATTTGCCTTAGAAGTGCCTATAAAATCCAATGCAACAGTTTTCCTATGGGGAAAAGAAGGCCATCTTGTATTTCCCCAAAATGATCAAATATGGACATTAATTACCTAACAGATTTGTATCATGTGATGATAATAATAATAATAATAATAATAATAATAATAATAATAATAATAATAATAAACTAACAGAAAAACAACTGAATTTAGCTTCATTTCATATGAAAGCCTATCTCTCGCAGGTATTAACTGAAACCCACCTCCTATGGCTAATGGCAGCCATTTTGTTTTGTGTTGTTTTCAAAAAGGATACACATAACATTCTCATCACATATATATTATGTGGATTAAAAAGATGTGGAAAATACTCAGAAACAAACCTAATTTATCAATTAATATTTTATATCCATGGCAGAAGAAGCCCTATGTTTATACTAGTATTCCTTTGATATGGCGGCCATCTTGGATTTTTCTCGAAATGCTTGAGAATAAAGGTTAGTTACTCACCACAAATATATTATTTGTGTAATAAGGCACTCAGAAACAAAATTAATTAGATAGTGGGCAATGCATCTTCATAGTTGGCATTAGTTGAAAACCCTTGTACATGTTCTAGTATTCCTATGCCATACGGCGGCCATCTTGGATTTTTCAAAAAGTTCAAGGACACTCGTTTGTTATCTGACATATATGCATTATACGGGTAATAAGAATGTGGAAAACATTGAGAAAATACTTTATTTGATAAAAATCAACATAGGTTTGTATATATTTCTACAGAATTTCACAAATTGGCGGCCATTTTGGATTTTTTGGCCAAACGGTAATTTCTTTCCATGGGCTACGGCTCTAATTTGATTTAGTATGTCAAAAGGTACCCACATGCAAATTTTGGTGCTTTTATCCGCCGTGTCACGATTTGGCCATTTTTTTGCCTTAAGCCACTGGACTATAGTTGGTTATGACTAAACCAAGGTTAAGAAATGCAGGGAGACAGATGCTGCCAAGGCAATATACGTCTATGCTGCTCTCTTCCTATCAGTATAAAAATAATACTCATAGGAGCAAAAATATCCTTAGTTCATGTATGCGTTTCTACTATTCGTTATAATGCTGATAGACTTTTCTTTTATATGTCACTTTTTATGCCTGTTACAGATGTCATAGGCTTTGTATATATGGCGGTAGGCACCAGTACATATCTACAGAATTTCAGATTTGTAAATTACTGAAGTAGACGGTAATTATAATTATAATTATAAATGTTGCATTTTTTTTGTTTCAGAACACTGTGGAAAGACTATCCCTGTTAATTTGGCAAACAGCATCATTCCATTGTCTACAACTACGCTGTATTTTGCAGGCAAGGGAACATTCATATCACTGACACAACAATATTTGCAACTTAGTGACACGATTATCTGTATACGGTACATATATGTACCAGTTGTAGGCTAATGAACCGAAATTAAATCACGCACCTTTATATTTATCATGGCACGCAACACTTTTTCCATCAAAGCTTCACCCGCCACACTTACATCAATTTTAAAACAATATCATGTATATTTTCAGCTATCGTGGGCATGTTTCTGCTGGCCGGTCTGATGCATCTGTTTGAAGTGATGGCGCTGTTCCAAGGTCTGTGGTACCTCCTGTGTCTTCCATCTGGCTACCTGCTTCTGATGGTATACAGTGTGTGTAACATAACAGACAGATCCTGGGGTGAGTTCATAGTTTATCTCTCATCTAGCACATTGTCCGTTGTGTTGGGTGATAAATCCTATAGCGAATGTCGACGCTAATGCTTGCTATAAGGGCGTGTAGAAAGAGATCTGTTGTGTGTTTATGCGTTCGTGTTTGTGCGTCTCTCTCAGTCTCTCTGTCTCTCTCTCTCTCTCTCTCTCTCTTTGTGTGTGTGTGTGTGTGTGTGTGTGGCAGTAGCAACACAAACCACCCTCTGCTGTATTTATATTACAGGCACGCGTGAGGAGAAGAAGGACACACCAAACGTGATGACAAGCTCGGTACCATGGAGAACTAAGATAGCAACTTTTTGGAAAGGATACCTATGCTGGTATGCACATAAGATCAGATCGGATCAAGGGCCAGATATATCTTTTCGGAAAGGTCAAATTACCAAAAAAGCATGAAATATAAGGACATGTTAATTATTACTTTCACACACGTCACGCCGGCTCAGATATCAAACTGCAGTAAAGACAACATAGAAACCTTAATTAGATGTCCCACCTGGCTCTTCTTTCCATTTTTGTCTAAAGCGCGTTTTGTGAAAAGCAAAAAAAAAAAATCTACCTAGTAAATATTATTTTAAATATCCGTCCCCATCATAGTTGTAGGATCATTTGATTAATCCCACCGGATGGCCGTTGTGGGACGGCGTGCGTTCGGGACGAACATCTAGCCAAAATCATTGCATCTGACGAAAAAGTATTTTTAAAATATGAGCGACTGAGGCTTATTTGCTCTTTGCCTCGGTTTTCTGCTCTTGGTCTCGAAGCTGCTAAGAGTAAAAATGTGCACCGTAGACAGAAAACCCCAAACTGCATTGTGCTACCACAACTACCGCATTGAAATCCCTTCACAGATTCAACACTTCCGATTTTTTCAACAAAATCGATAACAGAAAAAACCTAAATTACACTTTTTCCTTATTTTGCTTCAGCTGTTTCTACAGAAAAACCGAGCAACAAATTGACGTGGAGAGAAGGAGCAGTTTACCGGTTGAAACACTAGATCCTGACCAGGTCAGCGTCAGTACCGGGCACCACAGTACCATGACCAAGGACACGTACAGAGAGTCGGCCACCCCGAGACAAGAGGTGCTTCGGACAATCCCATCTTTTTTTCAACAACTCTTGTAAATTCTATTTTTTAAACGTAGACATAATGAAAAGTGCATTTGAAATTGGGGCATGTATTTTTAATAAATAAGAAAATTGTTTTTAAAATGCTTGATATATGCGTCTCATTTCTAGGCCTAAATTTGGTATGTTTTTATCATAAAGGATGAAGACAGCAGTGATTATGAGATAACCGGAGAAGAACTTATGTACCAGCGGTCGTCCCACGGCAGGCAGAAGTCGTGTAGGTAGACTCGAGAATACTCTGATTACTAGAGGAGAGTATCACGAAGGATCATTCTCTCTGTCTCTCTCTATCTCTCTCTGTTTTCTTTCCTTTACCCTTTGTGCTGGCGTGTAATACAAATCTTATAAGACGTATTCTTCATATACATTTGGTATTGATTTAATTCAAAAGTAACAATAACATTTAAGAGCAACTAACCACAGAACATCGAGTTGGTAGCGGAAATTTTAGCTCCATCTACCCGGGGGGTATGTTCCAAAAAATGTAGCGCAATTTTTTAGGGACATGCTAGAGCAGCATTTTTACGAACCTAAAATCAATCTTCATTCATTCATTTTTGAAAAGGGGATGGGGCTGTCTCTTCCCTCTATCTCTCCATGATACACTGTATGTAACTCATACACATACACTTAACCCTGGCTAATCTTCCAGCCACCTACCGCAGCAGAGCCAAGTCCATCCACAGTTCCTACAATGACACGAGGGAGGGCCTGGTACTCGTGGAGAACTGGCTGGAAGGGGACTTGGTAAGCTGGCCTCATACCTAATGTAACTTCGGACTTATGTAGTTAGCAGGTTTGGTTAATTTAACCAGTATTAAAGTACCCATGCCAGAATGAAAAAGTTTCCTTTTTCTGCCAAGTACGACAGATGTGTTCAGTGGTTCAAATAATAATAATAATGAATTATTTAACTAATTTTTCTGTAAAAGAATAGCAATTTTGATGATAATAATAGCAATAATAATAAATAAATGTTTTTTTCTTTTTCTCCCTCTCTTTTAGCTCATTCCTCTTTCCTATCTATCCGTTTAAATATTTTATTTGATAGAAAAAATATGCATCAAGGTTGAGACGCCAAGGGTTTGATGACACCCGATTTTTGGCTGATATGACGGAGAAGGAGTTAAAGGCTTGCGGAGTAGAGGTGAAAGCTCACCGGAAGGCAATCATAGAGGATATTAAACAGCTACCGCATCCAGAAATTGAAACGTTTGTTCCTGTATGTTTATTTGCTGTTCTTGGTTTCTTATTGTATAATAAGTGCAGCATTTTTATGTCGTTGTTTTTTAGATTATCACTTTTTTTTTGTCATACATGCATGGATATATTAAATAATATAGCCACTATCATATATTCGAGTAAATGTTTAAGAGCTTAAAGGGAAAATCCAGTCAATTTTGTTTTAGGAACTATTTCCAAGCTAATTAAGTTAAGCATGGCAATAATTTGTATTGGTCTTTTATTTAGAAGCAATCTTTTATTGAGAAGCAAAAGTTTAGACATTCTAAGACTTTTCCATTTGGAGCCGTAATTTTTTAAACTCTTACTGAAATGTCATTATTTTTTAGATTGACTCGTGGGAATGGCTGCAGTATTTGGGGATGGATCAGTATTACCCACATTTCAAGAAAAACAGAATAGTTCACCGCAAAGATTTTGAAATCTTGAAAGGAATGTCTCAGGAAGAAATACGAAATGATTTGGGAGTTCGAAAACCTGGTCAGTGTAGCAGCATTACAATCGGGCAGACTCGGATGATTCCGTAACTTTTCAACGGCTACGGAATCAACCGGGGTGCTCCGAATGGCGATAATGTCTCTGTACTGCAGGAGACCTCAAATTTGTTTATTATATCCTCATATCGACTAAATAGTTCGATCAGTTTTTTCATCTTAATATCTTAGCGTATGTCTGCGTATTATTAAAATGGCACAAGCAGTAGTCAGCGTGTTTACAATCATATCATTTTCATTTCTAGGTCATCTCAAGTTTCTGCTCAAAGCGATAAAAAATCTACGATGGCCAACTGAACGTAAGATACAAATTATCTTGTCTGTTATGCTGATTATTTTATCTCTATTCGTTATTATCCAGTAAGAAGCCCGATCTTTTGATTCTCTATTGAAACAATACAAGGTACCCATATTTGTTGGTTTTGCATTTCTTTTCTTTTTTAAAACAGAAAAGCTGTTCAAAAATATATCAGACTGCCAATAAATGGAATCTCATCTCAGTCTGTTACATTGCAACCGACACATGGTTTCTGTCTTATTTTCAGAGGAAATTCGGTTGCAGGAAACACGTAAAAAGTTCGATGACCTCCCGCTGTATTACCTGCACGAGATCAAAGCAGACGAGAATGAATTTTGGAACAAACTGAGGAAAAAGTGTCTCTTGCCTAACTCAAAAGCGTTTGGAACGGAGGAAGAACTAAAAGGCAAGAACTATTCTCTAGTTAATCAATAAATTGGTTTGTGACTTTTTATAACTAGTTATAAGTGAGTATGAGATATTGGCTGTGAAATATTGGTATTTAGTTGGTAATAGAACTGTTGATTGACGAAATTGTGCACTCTTTATTTATCAAACGCAACTTGATTTACTTTTGTAAAATGTAAAATACCAAGTTCTGGCAATTGATGTAATGCTACTGGTAATTGTAATATTTTACACAACTACATTAAAACAAAGTGCATCCCCAATGCTTCAACATCACAACAGTTTATTTAATTCAATTCAGTACAAATAAGTTAAGTAACAATTTAAAACTATTATTTTTGGCATTTTATTTTCAGACAAACTTGTTGAACTTCGTAACTTCTACCTAATCCTGTTTGCCGTGATAAACGCACTGTGGTTGATATTCATCTTACTTCTTGCCAATGAAAAGGTTCTCTTTGTACTGGGTACAAACCCTCTAGGTACGGTACAGCTTACCCCTCTGCTATTTGAACATAAGGTGACAGATTTTGATATTACAAGATGCCCGTTTTATTAGGTCTACATACTTGCCCTTACAGCAAGACCAGTCAAAACTGGTCAGATTTCATTCGCAATCGGACAGTGGAGTTTTGTGTAGGCCACTTTTACTCTTTGACTGGTAATGTATATGTATTAAGAATATTTAATAAGATATAAAGTCATTAACCTCAATAGGCATTTCCCCACCACACCTAAAATCAAAACATTTGCATTGCGCTGTATCACACCTACCGCATTCTACCTCGTCCTTCCGTACAACATATCACATTCTAAAGCAATGGAACTCTTTTGTCTTCAGGTCTTGCATTCCTGGTCGTCTTCGGTATTGTCCTCGTCATCCAATTCCTGGCTATGATCGTACACAGGATTGCCACGTGGATGCACATGATAGCACGTGCTCCTTATGTGTTCGGCAAGCCGTTTCAAACCACGTGGGGATTCCACCAAGGCGATACCCTCTCGGGTTCCGTCAATCTCGACTACTGGGTGACCGAGGAAGCTCGCGCAAAGTACCGCCAGAAAGCAGAGCGGCAGATTTCGAAACGGCGCCATACGTACTCGCGTAAGGGGAAGTCGAGTAAGAAACCCGAGGTGACAGGGAATTCAAAGAAATCGATCAATAAATCAGACCGTGAATCGATGGAGCCTCTCTTGAAGGAAGAAGGGCGTAGTGTTGGAAGATCGTTTATTACATAGAACAGATCAGTTTTGATGTTGGCTGATGTCTTGTGTTGCAAGGTGATAAAAGTTAGCCAAGTTTAAACAACAAAGACTAAAAGTACGATATTGTTTCTATATTTTCATGTGTTTGTGATCTCGCAGTAGGCCTATTTACCTCATTATTGTAAAAGGTTTTGTTCTTTACAATTATCTATATATCATCTTCTTGAATTACAGACAATCACGTCATATATGTATTGTAATTTGATATCATGATTTGAATAAATACATTGAAACTAAAAGATGTTAAACTAATGGTACTTTTGAAGTACTGTCACAATAACAATCATTGGCATTAGTATTTTAGTACTTGTCAAGTACTGTCACAATAACAATCATTGGCATTAGTATTTTAGTACTTGTCAAGTACTGTCACAATAACAATCATTGGCATTAGTATTTTAGTACTTGTCACAAAATTTTCCACCACCATATAATAATATGTTGAGCAGAGATAAGCAACTATAAAAAGTATCAAAAGTGCGAAAGCCACAGCTCAGACAAAATCATTTAACTGCCACACTTGCTAAATACAGGCAAGTGATACATGAATCTTATTATAAATATTATAATAAATGAAACAGTACCCAGTATATCTGAATTTTAATATAGCATACTGCCTGCAGAAGTACACACCCACCTTAAGACATATTGTTTTTTAAAAAAAACTTAACAGCAAACAACACATTTGTTAACAAAATTGAATTAAAAATTACTCTTCATAGGACTGAGGGACAGAATGAAATTCTGCTGTTCTGATATTTTTAGGTTTTCAATATTTTTTAGATTTTGTAAACATTAGCCCTTTTGGTCCTACAACTATCAAATTATGGAGTTTTTGAATCCACTTGCTTGTAATTAAGCTAAAGTCGGGCTAAAATTGCATAACACTACCAACTAGAAAAATTGAATCCAATATGAACTGTGACTTACAATGCTTCTTCAATATATCACAATTAAAATGATATCTAGTTTTACTTTGCTTAAACACATGGTCTAAGAGTTAGAGAGATGGCTGGATAAAAATAATATCCTTAGTAATCAAAAAGTTCTTCATGTTACTTGTAACTGCTTCTCTTCCATTAAAAGATACATAAACAAATCAGGTTTAAAGCAGCTGATAGTGTCTCACATATCAATATCTTCTTGAAAACCCCATTACCTGGAGCCCATTTATAATTAACACATGGGCAAAAGAAAAATACAAACTTAACTCTGCTTCAAGAAGCATGCTAATCTACAAACTATCAACTGAGCAATTGTAATCTCTGACCAAAATGTATTTGCCTTAACAAGAACCACAGTCACCACTGTAAGAAGAATTCATTGTTAAAAAATGAAGTGAGCTGCCTTTTAGATGATTTCAAATCACAAGACGGGTTCTTAGCATGTTTGCATGGCTTAGAACTTTTATCAACATATAGAGATCTTTTTGGCGGACGCTCTGTGAAGAGCAATCAATGGTCATGTCAAGAATTTCAGAGTAGAACTTTTGCTGCCAGCTGTGGAAATTCCCTGTCTCTACCAATCTCTTGTTGTGCTTTGGCCAGCAGTCGTTTGAACTCCAGCATCACGGTGGAGTAGTGGATATTAGGATACATCTCCATCAGCTGCTCCACTGTTGCCGTGGTAACCTGATCACAGCGTATTAACCCCAAGAACTGCAAGCTGGCAGCACTGGCAGAGATGGTTTTCACGCCGTGATCTGTGACGCCATGACACCAGCCTATGTCCAGGTGCTGTAACTGTTTGCAGCGTGAAAGGCTCTGAAGGGCTGAAAGAAAGCAGTTTGAGGAAGCAGTTTTATAATTCTTGATTTACTAATAATATTTTATAATTCCAAGCCTTGTGATTTTTCATTTATTTAATATTTTCCCTTAAAGAAATCACTTTTTTTTCTCAACCAAACTCCCAAATTCAGAAATTCAGCACAAAGCTAATTATAACATTATATGATATGATAATGATTTGATATAATAAAATATGATAGGACACAATAACATAAAATATAGTATTTAACAAAGAGAATAAAAATCAACATAAAATATTTTCCTATAAACAAATTTAAACAAGCCAGTACCTTGATCAGTAAGACTACAGGAGACCATGTGTAAATTCTTCAGTCTGGTCCCATACTTGGCAATGCTGTCCACACACATATCATCTATCTGAGAACACAGGCCCAAGTTGAGCACCTCCAGTTTTGGACACTGTTTGACCACTGCGATGACCCCGGCACTGGTCAGTCTCTTCACCTGGGAAACCCCCAGGACTCGCAGCTCTGGTAGCTGGAGGGAATTCAACACATCAGTATAGGTGATGTCTCCATCTTTTCAATGGGCAAAAATGATCAATCTTTTAGAGTGACAATTACAAAAATTATGTTTTGTTATGTATTAATTATAGCATTTGTGGTACTTTTAATGTATAAAATAGAACTATAGTGTAGCCTGCTTTTCATTTTTGTTGCTTCTACCTAACAGGATTGTTCTTATTTTAAGAATTTATGCCTTCAAAAAATCAATATCTGTAAAATTCAGAATTTTCACCATTAAAAAGATTGAATCATTGCTGTAAGCTAGAACATAAGCTAGAACATGACACAACAGGTTGGATAACTTGAGAATGATAAAAACAGTTAGAGAAAGAATACATGTTTGTGAGGCACTAAGTTAAAACACAAAGATGCTCTGTCAGGGAATGTGTTAGGTGTGACATTGTGTTTGACAAGTATGCCTGTCTATGGGAGACTCAGAGTGTGTTAGGTGTGACATTGTGACAGACTTGGGAGTGATATATTGTCATTGATAAGTGTACCTCACCTTAGCAATGTGAAAGAGACTGCAGTCTGTCAAGTCACATGACATACAACTTAACTCTTCCAAATTCCTGCAGTGTTCTGTCAGCTTTATAATACCAGGATCCTTTATCTAAAAGCCAATAAAAACATACAACAACTTCATGAAGTTGTACATGTATGGCAATGGGAATTACTTGCATGCTCCTTCAGCTTTCAATTGGCCAAATGGACAGTGGACTGATAGGTTTATCAAGGACCTCTGAATTTTACAGAAATATTTCATAATTTATTTCCAAAATACTGAAAGGTTCAACTCTGAACTATTAGCATACTACTGCCACATGCACAGCTAAGCTAAAGCTTCAATTGTATTCAGACTTAGGTTATCTTGCACTGAAAAATTTCTTAAAACCTCATCAAATAAGCAGATGACATATGTATTCTCCATGTGCCTTTTCCAAGTCACTAATATGGTGGCATATTTAAGGCTGACTTTTGGTCTAAATCAGTTCTGGTCTTAGCATGACTTTAACTCACAGAAAAGCACTGGTCAAGACAAACAGACTTCAGCCGTGGACACCCCTCAGAGAGCTGGACGACCCCGTGGTCTGTTATATCTCGTGCCTGGCTGAGTCTAATGTGGGACAGGTTGGGGCAGTTACAGGATATCTGGAACATATGAGGTAACAGTAGACATAAGTTACTGTACTTGTGAAAATATTCACTTTAGAGGCTATCATATTTAACAGTTAAGGTATCCACAACGGGCATCAGTTTGGTCCAGTACTTCTATAAATAAAAATATATTGTGTTATACACAGGTTTTCAATGTAATTTTGGATTTTGTCACAGTTTATACTGTACTTGTTGAAATATGATAATATACAATGTAACAGGCTTTGTATGTTTAACTATGGTAGGCATTCCTTATTTAATGGCATTAAAATACACATATACTAATACATGTACAATTATGAGGTGAAGGTGGGGAGAAAGTGAGACACCCATGTCTTAAAATTGCCAATGACCATACATGGACAGACATGGGTGAAATCTCTCCCCTCACTCCTTCACCTTATTAATCAATATATCAATCATTATATGGAGGAAAGTATTCTCAATATTTTCAAAATGATTTTAACACCGTATATTACTGAATCTGCCCTTCGTGGAAAGGAAATCACCGAGGCAGTAGAATATTCTTACCCTCGCCAGTGCTACATCAGATAAAGCATGCAGGTTCTCCAAGTTGAGGTGCTTTAAAAACCTGCAGTCACTCAGTTCACAGAAAGCTTGGTCTGAGAGCTGCTGGCACCTGGAAGATTACACACATTTCAAGTTATTGGACACAGCACGATGAAGCAATAACAGCACAATAAATTACAAGTAGAAAATATTAGATTGGCTCAATAGAGAGTCCTCTCATATCAGAAAAACATTTGTCCAGAACTTTGATTTTCAATGATTCTAATCTTCTGACCGGAAGTCTAAGCTGTAGTGAGAAGTATAGTGATTCAGTTTATTAAACTGAAGCTGACCTTGGCTTACGATGAGTAACAGAGCAACCATTAATCCCAAAAGGTTTAAACTGGTAAAAAGAATCAAAAACATGAGTTTCTACTTACATACATATATTAAATTTAAGAAATTATTATTTTACATATAACATCTCAACCAACAGTGTAAAACCTCAATCTCTACTTAATTCAAACCAACCTCATTAAACATAGTGCAGAATATGTATACTAGTACCTTGAAGCCTTGAAGACCTCCAATCTCTTGCAGTTTTTCAGTAAACAGGCCACCCCTTTGTTGTTCACTAGCCTAGAGTCTGTGATGTCCACTTCATACACATTTTCACTGTACGATGTCAGTCTTTCTAATACAGCATTATCCACCTTGACAAAGCCTTTAACTCTTACTGTCCTCCATAAGTCACTGTCTCTGGCCAGAGTACTCCAGAGTTTACAGACAAGGGAAGCACGGCAGAGCAAATCTGGTAATGGGAGGCATGTGAATATTCTAAGCAGCACATTATGTGGCAGCTCATTGACATGATATTGTGTTAGGTGTGACACTGGATTGTCATGGTTGTCTGATTGTGTTGGGTGTGACAACAGCTTGTCTTTTTCCTTTTGAAAACGTTTCTGAAATCCTGGACAAGCATTTGTCAAAGCTGCACTTTTTTTCCTCTCTTCACAATGACACCCAAGCCGTGGCACACTGTCTGACTTCTCAATGCCTGGTTTATCACACACACAACTTTTGGAGCATTTCTGTACAAAATCCTGGTTCATACTGTACATTCTCTTCTGACAGAAAATTTTGTCCCGACTTTTTGTTGATGCACATGTAGGTCCTTTATATTGGGAACTTGTCAACTGTGACATAGCTGCAGTGTCTTGACTATCATTCCACTGCGATGGCTTGGTAAAAACTTGCTTAATCTGACAATGTGTTAGTTGTGAAGTACTTGCATTGCGTTTGGTGTGACAGTGAGAGAGATGAGGTGTGGAGGCTGCATTTCTGTCTATACACACTGGATGCCAGTGGTCATTATGCTGTTCTAACTGATAGCTTGGCTCTCTAGGCATTACACCACTGCCACCTGTACATGAAATTGTGGATTGGTTTTCTCGAATCTTAAAAAGCACTGGTAGTGATCTCTCTGCAGTCCTGTCATCTCTGGTCACTGTGACATTTACTGCTGGCTGTTCTGGAAACTCCATTTCACTGGCAAGTAGTAAACTCTGCTTATCAGTCCCTGCGCTTGTCGTTTCTGTCTGACTGTTTTCATCAAACCAGGTGACTGTCTGCTTCTCAGTGGGAACATCCTCCATTTTAGCCCTGAAATACATCAAACACCGAATTGTTGAGGTTAATTTTTTGAATCTGCAAAAAAAAATCATATACCTACTAGAAATCACAATTTTAATGACCATGTATGCAAAATCTATTATTTCACACGTCCTGCGGCTGCATGCATTTTTTCCTAGCATAAAGATAAAATTTATTTAAAGAGGAAGGTTGCAACTACTGTATGCTATTAGTATGCAGATATAAATTGCAATGCAAGTATAACTACTGGTAGTAATGACAATGTTCATGTAGGGATAACATGAAAGTTAAACCACAACTGATAGACCTGTACAGTAAATCATAATGTTAAGGTCCACTACATGTAAATGCATGAATAACCAATCCCTAGTGAACCGATTTTAGCCAATATTAATTGCCAATAGCAAAAACCATTAAAGGTTTGAACACGCTTTAAGTGCAGGCTTTTATTCTACTTAAACTTGCATGACAGTACAAACTGTCCTTGATATGTCAATAAACAGTAAAACATTTATAAACAAGTCTCAAGTCCTCACCTGTGGAATCCCGTGTATAGTGCGTCCACGTCAACAATTTATGTGAACACTAAAACTGGTGACGTCATGTCGTAATCGAAGCGGAAGTCAGCGGAACGAGGAAGTCATCAAGATTTTTGCATATAGAAAGTTAGCTTTAATATGACATAGAAACGATAAGCGAGCAGGTAAGAGAGCCTGGATGAGTACCATAAACTGTGAGGTGTAAAAGTCGTGTTTTGGTATGGGATGTAGCATGGTAACTAGCCATAAACCCCTAGATTTTATGTTTGCGTACCCTTTGCTAGAACGAATCCTATCATCGTTTAGGCGAGGCAACCACTAGCACTAGCAGTAATGCATGTGGTATCAGTTTTAATTATACCATTGTGCGTGCCAAGCAATTAGGTCCCTGTGAATGTTAAAATATGCACGGCCACAAATTTTACATTTGACTGTGTTTGATTGTTATAAACTATAGTCTATTCGATGTTTACAAATAGAAATCAGTTCTGAGTGCATCGCCTTTGACTATGTATCTAACATAGTAAGACTGTCCTCTAGTATTATTTTTATGTGCTCACAATTCTCTGGTTTTTATTTGGTCAGTGTTGTGCTAAATTTCAAGTAGAACTGATGCTCTCTGAAACATTTAAATCAAGACATTTTTAGTTTTTAAATTGCTGCAAAATGACTGAGTAGATACTGGGTAAAATCCCCTCCACTCCCACCCCAAATATTATAATTAGCTATAATGGGTTGTTAAAAGACTGACAAAATCATATTGATTTTCAGCCTTAGTGAACAGCACGGAAATCTATTATACAGGGAAGTTGGAATTTATATAAAAGACAAACTTCCGTCAACTGTTTTTTTTTTAAGTAATGTAAATAACAAGTACTAGTACTGTATATCAAGATGTGATTCACTGAAGACAGTGAAAATATCAGATCTCGACAAAGACTTAGTTACACTTCACAGCTTTTGAAGTGAATAATCTTCTTGTCTCTATTTTTATATCACTACATCAGTATATGCATACCGTATATACCGAGCATCATTAAAAATTAACGGGTCAGTAATTATTATTATCGCCTTTTGTCACTGAGTATGGTTTGTGTTCTTCTTCTGTACTTTACAACATGTTATGACCTGTGATCAACATTTCTGAGCCCTGTAAGTCGAGTATATATTTAAAATAAGTACAAATTTCAAAAAACAATAACCAGATTATACTTATTTTCTAGACCTTGCATCTTTAAAGATGCTGAACATATTTAAAATGATATTTGGAAGGTGATAAACACATGAGTAATTTAGTAAAATAGGATATTATGTCAAAATTGAGTTTATTTTAAGTGCAGTTGAATTAAGCTTTAATATATATTTATTTTTAGTTATAACATTGATTAGTATTGAGTTAAGTGCACTGGAAATCATGTCGGAGAAGTAGTCAGTTTTCTCTCACTGGTATCCAATAATTTCCATTTAAATATCTGTCCCATTATACTTATTGTCACATGAAGTCATCTTGAGACCAGTTTGACCACTAAATACCATTCTTTACTAAAAAGTGGCTAACCTCAAGTACTGGAAACTATCAGGTATGCAGTGACTTAAAGGAAGGATATAGAACAGCATAAAGTTCATGAAAAAGGTTTAAAATTGGTCTGAGGCACCAATTTGATCTCCAAAGCATGTTTTTCATGAATCCCTTACCAATAAATGTTTTCCCATTTAGTGGCAGCGTAACAAATTTATCAGATGATGATCACTGTCTGAGATTGGGTTTATTAATTAAAATATTGTGAATATTTCACCAGACTTCTGTTACTGTATATACAGCACCATCTGTTAGGTGGCAAAACTAGGTCACTAGGTACCTGTCTTAAACTACGTCACAAGGTACTAGTCTTAAACTAGGTTACTAGGTGCTAGCCTTAAACTAAGTCATACAGTACCAGTCTTAAACTAGGTCACTAAGTGCCAGTCTTGAACTAGATCACTAGGTACCAGTCTTAAACTAGTTCACTAGGCACCAGTCTTAAACTAGGTCTCTAGGTACCAGTCTTAACTAGGTCTCTAGGTACCAGTCTTAAACTAAGTCTCTAGGTACCAGTTTTAAACTTGGTCACTAGGTACTCGTTTTATATTACCATACACTGTCAGTAATTGAAACAATACTCAAAGCAGGAAGAAGGAAGTCCGGTTTTCAGCACTTTTCAACCAGTTATACATCCAAATTTCTCCAGTGACTTTATATTTTAGTCTATTTCTTCTTATTTCTTTTTTGAAGTGGATAAGTAAATGTGTTCCTGTCAAATTCAAAAAGGGAAGTGCTTATCTCATATTGATAATAACTGCTCAATGGTCTCTTTGTGATCAATATTTGGATAGTCTGATCATGAAAGTACACATTTTATTTTTAATTAACTGTTATGTTCACAGAGCTAGAGATTACACACTTATTTTGACTGTGAAATTATTTAAAAAAAAAAAAACATATTTGAGTTATATGTCCAAGTTATTGTTACCTTTTATTCAAAACAAACATTGATGAAGCCACTAGTACATTACAATACTTTAAACACTGAATATGTTGTAACAATTTACAGAGAGCAGTTCCTAGTAATTGTCTTCTTTGTGAAAGGGAATTTTGATGATTAAAAAGGAATCAGTAAGTTATTTCTCTGTGGTTAGTTGACATCTGATAAGGATGTTATAGGAGGTCAGCATGAGTCAACCTCTTATGCTCAATTATATGTTCTCACGCTGCAATCTACAGTTTTCTCTTTGAGACTTCTATACTATTGATTTCTGATCACTGATAATATGTGAAATAATTTCGTTATGTTAAAAGCATTCAATCTGGCATTTAATACATTGAGAAATATTTACACCAATAATCAGTCAGGTACTAGCTGTTAAGGGCTGTTTTTTGTCTTGGTTTATCAACAAAGATAAACAAAAGCTCCAACCTAATTGTATTGCCAGTGTGTAGTATTTACGTAGGATCATGTTTGTTGATAGATAACGGCCAAATATCTGCTTGCTTATACATCTGGTATATATTTATAGAGTTGTCTGACTTTGAACATAATACTTTTGCTCTTTATTTTTCAGTATGTTATTGGCTGTTATAATCTATATTGATTTTCTTTTCAGAACAAAATGAAGTTTGGTGCTACTCTGCAGCAGCCCAAATCCCATGATGCATTGCTTCGGCTGCAGGATGCTGAAGTGCGTCTGCTGGAGAGCATGCGCAAGAGTATAGAAATGCGGATAAAGAGTGACAAAAGCTATGCCAATGGACTGGGAGAGATGGTCAAACAGGCTCAGAGACTGGACAATGCTGAATTCAGTAACCCGATATTTGAGGTAGGTGAAAGTAGAACACGGGATGTTACCTGGATTTAATATGTCTTTGAGTAAAAATCTCTGCTTTCATTATGTGGCATTGAAAAAGCATGTCAATAAGTTTAAAATGTTAACTTAATTAACATTACTCAGAAATTACTGACTATAAGCAAGTTTGATTGAATTTGAAACAAGTCATAATATGTATTATATTATTTGCCTCAAACCATTTTATTTATATTTACTTTATATCTTTATTATCATTATTACCAATTTATTAATATAGGTATGGGGAGAGATAATCAAGAAAACTGAAGATATAGCCTCACGGGTAAGGCAGAATGCTGAAGACATGTCTTCTAAGACAGTTGAAAAGTTGAGCTTGCTGATCAATGAAAAAAAAGCATCAAGAAAAATGTTAGCAGAAGAGAGGCAGAGACTGGACGCAGAATTAGCAGCAGTAAGTTCTCCTTCAAGTATTTTGCCCAGAAGAAGAAAAAGATGCACATTTAATTGCCATTTGTTTTTTTTTTAACATGCATATGTCTTTTACAAATTTTCTTTTAAGATGCTGCAAGCAAATTTAAAAATTTGCTGAAATCAAATGACATTCTGTTTGTTGTTACCTTTGCAGTCAAAAAGGGAGGTGGAGACACAGAAGTCAGAATATGCAAAACTGGTCGACAAATTGAAGACAGAAAGAGCAAAGTATGAAGACTTGTACAACAAAAGTAAGTGTGTTAGGAGTTTGGTTTCATTTTTGATATATTTTGAATTGGTTCAAATGTTCTCTTTTTACTCATGTCTTGGCTTACAGGAGTCTTGTAAAAACATATCCGTCATTCTGAGTCAGAATTTTAAAAACATACTGGCTCTTTGAGGGTCTAAGAATGCACTGGCCCATAGCAGAAACAGCAGCCTGTAACTGAACAAATTTCCAAAATTAAATTGTTTCAGCTTCAGTTTTGGACAGCTCTTTGTAAGTTTCTTACTTTACACACCACCTTCGAAGTTTTCTTCAAATTACTTTACTTTTTTTGAAAGCGCTACAAAGCCCAAAAGTTATCACAGCACATTTAGATTTTCATCACATACTCCATGCATTTTTTTTTCATATTACCAGATAAATTAAAGTCATTTTCATTTCCTCGTGCTAGGTAAAGGTGGCAGTAAGTTTGAAGAAGCCAAGAGCAAAGTTCTCAAGACTTGCACCAGGCTTCACAAGACACACAACCAGTATGTGGTGGCCATACATGACTACAACCAGCAGCACTCTGCCTACCTGAGGACCACCCTGCCTGGCCTGCTGAACTACCACCAGGCTATACAGGAAGATATGGTTGAACAGTGGTGAGTTAACACATCTCATCTATCTTAAGGTTAACACACTCATAAATCTGACATTCTCTGAGGAAAAATTACCCTCCCCCCATTCCTCATACTTTCAAAAAAAAAAAAAAAAAAAAGAAAATTAAAAGTAGATGATTTTATGGAGTTTGTGAAGGGAAAATGTAAATATTTCATTAAAACAGTTTGAAAATGCTAAGCCACAAAAAGGAAGTTAAAATATGTAATAGAGGGATTGTAGTTGCATTGATCAAGCAGTATACTGCATGTTAAAGATACTTGGAAGTCTTCTCCAGCGAGAGCTTATGTGAGAGTCACTCCTGTTATCAGTGTCATGTTTTGTAGTGGAAGTTATCGTTGGAATTTTGAAACTATTTATATAAAAATGCAATTCCCAGTAAGCGGGGCTTAACTTCAGCAGTTCTAATATGTGTCTATAGACATGCAGAAAACCGAATGGTAGAAAACAGTAATCACTGTTTGCTTCCAGAATTTTTCATTGATATTAGTATTACTGAACCTACAACACTAAACCCAATATGCAAAAAAAACAAACACAAATTCCTTGTTCTCTTTCAGTAAGGACATTTTGCTAGAGTATACCCTATTAGCAAGTACATGTTCAGAGGACTTTATAGCAAATCAGAAAGACATAGATGTGGCTGTTAACAGGATAAATCATCTTACAGAATATGATGGATTCCTGGAGAAATACAAGTAAGATGGTTTATAAAAGATATTAAACATGGACAGTTTATGCCTGCCAGAGAAAAACAATTATGGACTATTTGAAGCATCAACACTGTTGATTATTTAAAGTATCAATACTAACATGCATGCTGGCTAGCGCACGCGCACACACACACACACACACACACACACATTACCTTTCTGTACATTACCCTGACTTATTACTGCTAACTGTATTGATTTCATTCCTATTTTTAACCAGTGAGGCAGCAGTAAAAGCAGCAATGGGGCATAAAATGGTGTTTTACCCAATACGCGATCATCCCCATACATACCATATCCCATAACAGTAAATGTATCACATGAGAACACAATTCTTTTGATGCTGAATATATCCTCTTCTCTTATCAGAGACAGTCAAATTGAAGAAGACACTGTTGTGTTTGATGAAGGCTTATTAGAAGACTACAGTGGAACATTACAGAAGGATAAAATAGCTGTTGATGATCTCAATTTGGAGAGTGTTGAGCACAGGTAAATGCTTTATTTGCTAGTTTCACTTGGAATTTTTTTAAATGGCAAAAATATGTTATCACTTACTGAGTGCACTTTGAAGATGGCTTGAATCGGGGGAGGGTCAGGCAAAAGTGAAATCTGTCATTGTGCCAAAAATAGCAGAAAAAGCACAAAATCATTACCATTATTAATATAGTTTCAGTTACCACAACATTTTGAGAGCAAAATTCAATTTATGAAATGAAGCTGTCAGTTTTGCATGCCCCCCCCCACTTCTACAAGGTCCCCCCCTCTCTCTCTCTCTCTCTCTCTCACACACACACACACACACACACACACACACACACACGTGTGAAAGGATATATATTGGGGAATATCCCTAAAAAGAAGTGGAGATGTAAAAAATAAAACAAAATGTGTCACTTTTTCATCTCGCCTAAATTTTTCAGTACAAAATAACAGCCATGTATGCACAAACATAATACAGGTTATCAGTTATAGATACAAAGCATACAAACCTTGATATATTTCAACTGATCACTGAAATATTTGTAATATACCATATTTAATAACATGTGGTGTTGTCTTTCTTCAGTGTTACAGCTGTAAAGGAGGATTTGAAGTGTGCCAGGATAGCCCGGGAACAGAAAGAGGAACAGTTGCAAAAAATGGAAGAAGAAATCCGAGACTTACAGTCACAGCCTTTGGATGAAAAGGGAAAGAATGAGTAAGTGACCCGTCCACTCTCAGATTCTGTCTTCTAATGAAGTGAACTGAATTGTTAACTATTGAGCAGTTTGTGGGTGACAGGGCCAGTCATGTTTATGCTTTTTGTCCATATTATAGAGATCTGAACATTTATAGTCACCTGGCATATTTCAACCAACTTTTCCCATGTATCTGCTCATGTCTAAAAACAAAATATCCAGTTTTTATGGTGAACTCAATAAATCTGTGAAAATGTACCCATTGTGAATTTTTGATACAAACTCGTGCGTCTGAAACATCGCATTGTAAAGCTTTTGGCTTATGATTTGTGCTTAGCCTTTTTTATCCTTTTCTAAAATATTCATGCATTTTCTAGGCAGTAATTTCAGTATTCTTTCTGTAATAATGAGCCATTCACCATACTTCTCAGGCTTATTACATCCAGGCTTTATATCATATTAAAAATTCCAGTCTGTCGGTGAAGAAAAGGGCTGTTCTGATCTTGAAGAAAGAGCTTGCAGAGTTGAAGTGTAAGGAGCAGAAGAATCAGGCACAGTGTGATTTGCTAGAAAAACCGCTGGAACAGGTGAAGGAAGATGGTCCTCCGGCTGGAGTGGAGCTCTTAGATATAGGAGATAAAGTAAGTGGAAATCTTTAAAACAGGAGAAAAGAAAGAGTAAGTAGAAATCTTTAAAACAGAGGGAAAGAAAAAGTAAGTGGGGATCTTTAAAACAGGAAGCAAGAAAAAATAAATGGAATTCTATAAAACAGGAGAAATGAAGTACATAGATATCTAACCAATATATCTATGGATTCTGACAATTTTGGCATTAAATATTTACCTTTTGAAAACAATTTGTTGTATGTATTTGGCTTTAACTAGTTTTTTTGCTATCAATTTCTCTTTCACCAATCATTAAAGGAATGGTTTATTGTTCTGCCAAGTATAGCTAACTTATAGATTATGGTATTTTTATAACTTTCATTGTTCTGGTACAAAATGCACTTACAGCATTGTTGGGTGAATAAAGCAGACAAATTATTGGTTAATTTATGAACATTAGGAGCCAGGATACACAGCTTCTGTGTGTCTCTGAGTTATGACAGACGTAAACAGAACAACACACAGATTCTGTTTACTATCCACAGTGAGATATTTGTACTAAGATTGTTTGTACATAGGTTATTTCTCTTGGTTGAAGAAGGGGAGAAAGGGAAGCATTATGTTCACCAGCTTTAATTTTGTTTTTTTTTTTAAATTTATTTTATTTATTTTATGTATTTATGTTTTTGCTGCAGTCAGACACCAGTAGTACAGGGGGTGCTAAGGGAGGAACATTTGCAAAAAATAAATTCCTTGGCAAGTTATCTAAAATCACCAAAAAGCAGGCAACTTCACCCCCCACGCCACCTAGCAAGGATTTCTTGGACAAGTCAGATGCCTCGAAAAATCAAGTTCAAGGTCAGAGTTATGAAGTTCACGACCTCCCTGACGCTAAACCTGCTCCTACTGCAAAATCAGTAGAGGGAGAGGTGATTGAAATACCAGCAGATGGCGCTTATATCAAGGTGAGACATCCCATTTACTTAGTTAAATAGTTCATCCTAGGTCTCAGTTTTGAAAAATATTTTATTCTGTGCTGTTATTCAATTTTTTTTTTATTTTCAGAGGTCTCTTTTGTCTATAGTTAAACTAAAGTATACCGCAATTGACTGTTTTAACATTTGGAGTATCTCCAGTTTATTTTCAAAGAAAATTAACAGTCCACAAATTAAACCCCTTTTATATCATATATCTAGGAGTTACCAGATGAGTACATGGTGAGATTTATCTGTAAAAAATCACTACACTGATTAGCCCCTACTAACTGTAGAATAATCCTATATAGCAATGGACAGAGTTAATGTGTGCTATAGTAAGGTACAGGTTTACCTGGAATTGTGTATGTATTATCCCTGTGGTGGAATTAAAATCAGTTACTGTAGGTGGTGAATGTATTGGATAGCAGCAGAAGTATTGATGAATAATATTGATAATCTGAAGTGGTTAGTTGTATTTGATCAAGGAGTTTAGAATTTGGATCCCTTGGTGCATGCAGTCTTAGTTGATGAAGTTTTTATGGTGATTTGTAAATGAAAATTGTTAGCTTAAAGAAATGTTTTGAAGAAGTTTTAAAAATTAAATTATAGTTATTCTTCCATAACACTTTTTTTGTCTAGTGAATAGTAAAAAAGATGTGGGCAGTTGCATGTCATATTTAATTTAACTGATAGGGGTGGCAAAAATAGAATAAAATGTGTGATGGTGCAGAAAAACTAGAAAGGTCCATGACACGTGTAATATCAGGGTAAATAAAAGGTTTGCAGCAGCTTTCTTTTTGTCAGCAACTGCTTGCCAAATATAATTCTTCTTTGGGTCAACCTAAATGAGAAGGTCAACCTAAATAATAAAGCATACTGAAAATTGGATAAAAAGATGAACAGAATCAAACACTGTCCACTTTCCATTTTATTGTCCCATACAAAACCTTTGCACATTCAGTGCTCTGTAACTTATTCAAAACATCAAGTCCAACAGAATGTCTGACTAAATTGCTGGTTGATTGCTGTCACCTCTAACACAATTGTTTTCATTTTCAGATGCGTTTGAACCCTAACAGTGAGCTGACAGAGGAAGAGTGGTTCCACGGAGTGTTGCCCAGAGACGAGGTTCAGCGACTGCTACAGAATGACGGGGACTATCTGGTGCGAGAAAGTAAAAATAAGAAAACTGGCGAGACGCAATATGTTCTCTCAGTGTATTGGCAGGGACATAAGCATTTTATCATACAAAAAGGAGAGGTAAGCAGCAGATCAAATGTCCATCTCTCTCTTATGTTAAATATATAAGGTACTTATGGAGACATTTCAGGTGTGGGAGTGACAGTTATTTGGAAAATGCCTCTTTCTTTTTGTAGAAAGTGCCTCCTTAAATTTTTAACATGTCAACATTGAAAGACTGACAAAAACAATATGAAACTCAATAAAATTTGAGATATTTTACTTTTACCTTAAACATTTAAAACGAAACTGCAATATTCATCAGTCACTATTTTTATTTAAACAGAAATTATTATTTATATTTCTTTATTTCAAGTTGGTTTTATGTTAAATTGTATGTTATTGTGTGTCGATAATTAAAAAAAAAAAGTAAATAAAATATAAGGTATTAGTGAAGTGTTTCATATCTCATCATATCGGTAATTATATTTGAGGGCCATGTGTAACATAAGCGTATACACTTAACATGTTAAACCCTCTTAAAAGAACGTTTATTATTATTATTATTATTATTATTATTATTATTATTATTATAATATAACAGGAGGGCTGGAGATTTGAGGGAGGCTCATACAAAACCATCCAGGAGCTGATCTTCTACCAGCACAAGAGTGGCTCGGCCGTCACTAACCGCTCCCAGGCATATCTAAAGAAGCCCATCCTTAGGGAAGACTGGCAACTGAAGAATGATGATGTTGTAATCAAAGAGAAGATTGGCAGCGTGAGTGCCACCATATTTTAAATCAAAGCATACTGGTATATTTGAAAGTTATCTCTTATTTGGAGATGAATGTTTTCAGTGTGTTTCAGATTTTTTGTCCAGTAATCATTAAAATTTATTAATGCTAAAAGAATTTTCTTTGAACCTCTCATTCAAAATTTTGTAAATATTTTCAGATATCATTACCCATTGGTACAAATATGAGTAATAAAAAGATAATGTGATCTTGATATTTGAACAAGCTGTTAATGATACAAACAAATATAATTGCTAATGCTAACTCAAGAAAATCCACTGTACTCTATTAAAATAAGCTATTTATATTAATTATAAAATGTACCCAAATTCTATGTTGTATTTTATATTTTAGGGTAATTTTGGAGATGTATGTAAAGGTGTCTACAACGGCAAAGAGGTGGCCATAAAGACATGTAAAGAAACATTGAACGAGGACCAAAGAAAAAAATTCATCCAAGAAGCAAGGATATTACGTCAGTATTCACACAAAAACATTGTCCAGTTTGTGGGCATTGCTGCCCAGAAGCAGCCTGTCTTGATAGTGATGGAATATGTGGAGGGTGAGTTGTCACATCCAGAACAATGTCACACCAGAAACCTGTCTCACCTGACACAATTACTGTCACATCCAGAACAATGTCAGACCAGAAACCTGTCTCACCTGACACAATTACTGTCACATCCAGAACAATGTCACATCAGAAACCTGTCTCACCTGACACAATTGCTGTCACATCCAGAACAATGTCACATCAGAAACCTGTCTCACCTGACACAATTACTGTCACATCCAGAACAATGTCACACCAGAAACCTGTCTCACCTGACACAGTTACATGCTTCACAACCTTTGAGTTATACATACAAACTGTTTTTTATGGTAGCACAGTGTTGTAAAGAGTCCTGTTGCTCAAGTAATAAAGAAATACAGTTACATAGTTTTGATGTCTCTTGTGTTATACAAAAGTCAGCCACATGATCTAGGGTAAAAATATCATGCCTCTTGGATAGAAAAATTTTTTAGTTTCTTTAGAAAAAAATTAAGGAATTGGTCAAGAAATAGTTTCTAGAACAGCTTAACTCTTTCATTGTGTACCACATGTAGCAGCTCAGTTGTATTATATTTTACTTGCGTGTCCTATCAAGTATGTTACTACTACAAGAGATCAAAACCTTCAAATCATCCCATAGTATTGAAAAGGATTTATGATCTTTTTCTTTTGAAAAAAAAACCCCTCTTCATTGCTGTTTCTCATATTCCAGGTGGTGCCCTGCTCACTTTCCTGAGGAAGAAAGGCTCCAGTCAGACTGTCAAAGCACTGGTCAAGATGTGTGAAGATGCTGCTGCTGGCATGTCTTACCTGGAGAGTAAACACTGCATACACAGGTAATGTGCTTTCAGGTTTCACCTGGCCTGACCTTCACCTGACCTGGCCTGACCTTGACCTTGACCTGACCTGACCTGACCTGACCTTGACCTGACCTGACCTATTATCTACACTTCTCCTGGAATAAAGGGGGAGACACAAATCTTTCCACATTGGCCTACCCCTGACATCTTCCACTCCCCTCCATCCAGAGATATTTTCTGACAAGCTTCCAAATTTTCTTTATTGATCCATCCTCCAGTTTTGACAGTCTTCCGACAGAAATCTGACCGTCTTCCGGAAGACCTAGAAGATGGCCCAAATCCCCCCCTGACTAGCAACATTTTGAAATATCTGTTCAATGGTAAAATCTGATCCTGACCATTCCCAATGTTTTCTAGGGACCTGGCAGCTAGGAATTGTCTGATAGGCAAAGATAATGTGGTGAAAATCTCCGACTTTGGGATGTCTCGCGAGGAGGAGGAGTACACAGTGTCAGATGGACTCAAACAGATACCAATTAAATGGACAGCACCAGAAGCTCTGAACTATGGTCAGTTGAGTGTGTATGTGTGTGTGTGTGTGTGTGCATGCGTGCGTGAGTGCATGCATGTTTGTGGGTAAATGTACAGCACCAGAGGCACTGAACTATGGTCAGTTGTGTGCAGATTACAGAATAAGACTTAATGTAATGAAATAGTCAATTGCACTCATTACAAATATATATATGTGTAAGGTCTGTACTTAGTGGCATTTGGCCCCAACATGGTCAATGTATGATGATTACATATTAATGTGTGCAGATTAGATTTTTTAATGATATCAACAATAGAATATCACCTTGAAAAGCAATTAAGTAATGTAAAATAAAACTCAATTAGTAGAAATGGTGACCTTCCTTATGAAATTGTACACATTTTGATGCCTAACAACATTATTGAAGTCAGTGGCATTGGCAGTAACATATATTGGCTCACCATTCCATATTTCTCTGTGTCAGGTAAATACACTTCCCTGTGTGATGTGTGGAGTTATGGAGTCCTGATGTGGGAGATTTTCTCTGGTGGACAACAGCCATATCCCGGACTGACCAATCAGCAGGCTCGAGAGAGAGTGGACGCTGGTGAGTGTCCGGCCAGACCTTGAGATTCTCTCTCTCTTTCTCTCTCTTTGCTTCTTTTGAAAGAATATATAGGGGAATATCCATAAAAACAAGTGGAAAAGAAAAATGAAACACTTGCACTTGAAATGTGTTAAAATGTGTCCCGCTTACAACTCCAATGTTTTGTCATTGCAAAAAAAGCCATATACACACCTACATAATGCTGCTTGTCACCACAAAATACAAAACAGCTTTGATAAATTTCATCTATCACCAATTTATAACCCTGATATATCTCGTATCATCAACTTTTACACCTCATATCTGTGTATATTTTAGACCACCATGCTTCAGATATTGCAGACCGATTCAGCCTTTGTGTTGATTGTCTTCCAGGTTATCGTATGCCGCGCCCGGAGACGGCACCAGAAAATGTGTACGAACTCATGCTGAAGTGCTGGCAGTACGACCCAGACCAACGTATTCACTTCAGTGAAATCTTTAGAGAACTTCAGAAAATAAGACCCAAAATTAAAACATGAAGAGTTTGGCCTCATTGGAATACAAAACAATAAAAAAGGAAGGAAAGTAGAAATAGCAGAATTATGAGCAGAGTCATGTGAAAAGATCTTTGTCTGGAAGGTACATATATATATATATATATATATATATATATATATATATATAAGAGTAAAACATTCAACTTAATAAAAAAAAATAGGCCGATTAAGAATCTTATGGAAACTAACACTTTAATTTGTGTTCTTAACAGTTTTAACTGTTAATTTTAAAGTAAAAAAAAATGACAGAAATAGGCAAGTCAAACTGTTTATGGTATGTTGAGACTTACATATCTTAGAAGACTGTTCAATAGCTATATCTAAGTGGAGAGACTGGAAAATGAAAGAAATCATACACTTTTGGTTGACTGAGTAGATAGTATACCCCAGCCTCTATAAGAATGTTGTCATTCTGTTTACATAGTGAAATTATGTCCAGCAATGTTTTGAACAAAAACATTTTAAGAGCATCTCTGGAAAGAAGATTCTATGGTTGGGGTCCTGGGTGGGTTATTCCTCAGGTACCCCCCCCCCTCCACCCCCACCCCCCTTTTCTCTGCCAGTTGGCATAGAGCTCCTCAATAACTGAACCTTTAGCTCTTCTAAAATTGGTCTCAAAATGTTTTTGCTCTTTGTTAAAACAAAGCTGAATGTAGTCCATTAAACAGTGACAGTGATGTAGCATTATACCCACTTGTATCTGTGTAGGAGTGTAAAAATGTGTTCAGCTGTTAGTGCAGTGTTATGTTTCATTCTCACCCTGGTCGTGCCACACTCCTTGCTTCACACATTTATAATATATATTGTCTGAGTATCAGAGGCTGATGTGTTTGATGACATAGATATGCCTACCTATGAACAGTCATCACCACTGCAGGGCAGTTAGCGATAAGGACACTAGAGGGCACCACAGTTGTGGCATTACCAGGTGACAGCACTGCTGTGCAATGATGTCAGCACTTTTGGTGTTACATATTGTAGATTACTATTGTATTGAAGAGACCTACATCAAACTGTAGATAGGACATTTTTCTTTTTATTTGCAAGCTCATATTTCTTTGAAAAAGAAAAAAAAAATTAAGGAAGATTAGTATGCTAGTAACTAAGGAGAATATAAACCTTGTGCTGCAGGCAATGTACACGTCTAGATTCCCTTAGTCTGTTAATTAGGCTCCTGTAATTGCCGGTGGACTGTAGATGATGTCCTTAGATTGTCTTCCCTGTGATATAACATTTGCTGTTGACATAGATCCACTATTTTTATAAAACCTGTGTGTTCATGTAAATTCTTTCACAATGGATTCTCCCACTGTCCATGGTCGAATGGGCCCAGCAGACTTGGAACCAGGGGGGGTTAGGGGAGTGCTTCTTCAGAAAAACAGTTCAGACAATTTCATCGAGGCTGGTAGCCATAAATCCCTCACGCACTGAAGAATGGTCATCTGAAGATGTAGTTTCCTCCACCTGTCCTCCCTGGGTTCAGACCTGTCTACCTATGCACAGCATCACTTCTGTGTTGATAGATGTTTTAAATAGTATGTTTTGTAAGGGTACTTTTTTTTTAAATATTTAGTATCAGAGCATAAATTTATTATATCTCATTTACCAAAGTATCATTTGAGCATTAGCGCACCGTCACACCGGGCACCCACCAAATGGCATTGCTGAGTTCTGCTTGTACATTATGTTGCTATTCATTATATATGATTATGTGAAACTTGAGTCAATAATGTATTCTTTGGTGAACATTAGAGATAAATTTACTTGAAAATTAGGGTGCTATCCTGAAAGTGGATTGCCGGTGAATTATGTAGTCCCAAATTGAAATTGTGAAAAGTTATTGGGACTTGAACTTTTTTATGTCATTACTTACTCTTTAGTGTAAATTGAAAATGGATCAAAACTAGCTATGTTTAAGCTCATCATGGTCTGTAATCATGATGAATGCCATGTAATTAATTTTTTTCACCATTAGTGTCAGCTTTCTTACAGTAGCATTAAAGCTACCTAAGTTGGCTCTTATTTGAGTACCACTTTGTTGCTGCTTACATTACATTTCCATACGTGACCAACCTAAAAATCATGATTTGGCTGCTTTCAAAACTTACCCAGTATGCAACAATTATGTATGTAATTTTATGTAAATTATATTTTCTATATTATGGCTCTCTATGAAATAATTGAAGTGCTAATAAAAAAAATCCTTGATTTTGTAGCAAAATATTTGCTGTTGTTTTGTAGTTTTGATTCTAAAATAGTAGTTAAAATGGACTGAATTTGGTTTAAAACAAGTTATGCATCCTGATAATCTTGCAATGGAATATTCCTAGGGGCAGCAAGATGACTTGTGTCTGGGGCATAGGCCAGGCTCAACATCCATCCCCCCAAACACGTACACGCATGCACACTGACACACACACATACACACACATACATGCGCACACACACTATACCTAGGGTTAAAGTGCAGAAAAACAAAGGGTACGGGGGCGTTTGTATCAGTCATAATACATCCATTGCTGAAGACCGCCATTTGTTAGATCACAATACTTCCAATGAGGTGCCCATTCAACAAAAACATAACCTTGAGAAAAAACGCAGTTAATCTCGCGCGTGACTTGCTTTGTCATATGTCACCAAGAACTGTTGTGTCACCCAAGCCAATACTGCGCCACACGCGAGGGACTCTCAGGCCGTGATTTGCCAGTGGGTGGCGTTCTTCTAGTTACACGGACGCGCAGTGAAGGCAAGAACCCACCGAATCATGGTTTCCAAAGCAGAGCGCGCGGCCTACAGGAGCGTCCCCAGCGTCTCGGTGGAGAGCAGAGAAACAGAACATGACGAAGACGGTAAGTCTTTATTTCTTTGGGCACTTTTTTTCAACTTTTCGTTATTTGTTTTTTTTTTTTTAGATAATAAATGGGCATGTAGCGCAGCTATGTACAAAGTTTTTCATTCTGCTTTGGAAAAAGTACAATGATTACTAGATTCCTTTAATCGGTGCTACAATGATAGGAACGCTGATGCAAAATTTTGTCACTATCAGCTGTAAACCAATGTTATTCAATTCAAAAGAAAAGTTTTTGATAACGTAAACGGCACGTAAAATTGTTATATTTTGTGCTCCATAAAAGTCAATAAACTTTCAGTTGGGTTATTTTCTTTGAAATCAAAGATAAAAAAGTTTTAATATTAGAGTTGTAATTCTGAGAGGACTTTAACTGTGGAGGCTGCATTTTAGCAGTGAGAATTCCGTTTCCTGTTCAGGGACGGGTCTGCAATTATTTACCCTGATCTAATAGATTAAGCAGGCAAAGAAAGAGAAGGGTTATTATTGCATGCGTCACGCCATAATCAAGTTTGTTGTCACCTATATATATACAACATCACGTAAAGGAACATTTCAAAGAAAGAGATTAATTGGTACGTGTTTGCATTTGATAAATGAACCTTGGAACTTTTCAAAGAAATTTGCCAGAAGTTTGAAATTTGAATCCCAGTAGTGTCTTTCTAAAGTCTCCGTTTCTACAGTTGCATCCCATGCCTTTTTTTTCACCGTTTTCGGAAGTTTGATACAATGGCCGGCTTGCTGCCAGCTCTGGTTATGATTCTTGGGGTATGGTTCGGACTAAAATATAACTAAAAACATGAGCTTGGTTGTTTGATAACATCACCTAGGCATGGGACCACCAATAATACTCTCTCTCTCGTGGAAAAATTCTGGATGGGGGATAAAATGATTTGTATCTCTCTCATTTTCTCTCTCTTAAGAAATTAGAATGGGACTGGGGATGGTAAGAGCTTGTATGTGGTACCAATCCTCTTGTAGCACAATATCCAAATGCACACGGAGAAGAGAAGTGTAGCCTCAAATATCCTCATATATCAGCAACTGGTGGAAGTAAGGTGCCATCGAAAATGATATCTGCTTGATTGTTCTTGTTCCCAATTTATTAGTTAAAAGATGTGTGCGGTTTTATACAGGGTCTCGTGTACAGCTCGTGCCAGGCGCTACATCGTGCGGGTTAGGCTGGTAAGATAGAGGACAAAGGATGCCTTGCATTTAATGTAAAGTAAACCTAGATTTTAACGGTTTTTGTTATGAAGGCTGCGTTAGAAATGTTCGGGGGATATATAATATTTGAGGTAGATGTCGAGATTGACACATGTAGTTTTACAGTTGCTAACTATCCAATGGTATTCTTTATTTAAAACATTTTAACCTAAGAAAGCATCCAAATTAAAGATCGCTTACGAATATTATAAAGGATGTTCATGAAAATCGTTTCAGACGATAGATATAATTATGAAAAAAATGATCTAAAATACAAATGATATGAAAGGGGTGGGGCACATCATAAACTCAATCAAAACCAGTTCAACATATTATCTTGCGCAACGATTTATAATCTTAAAAAAGAGCCTTCGTGTTCTTAGAATAATTTTTTGTCAAATTGGTGCGACCAGAACAAGATTTTTCAGATCAACGGACTCACCAAAAGAACCCTCCTGTACTGCACTGCATTGCTTTAGAGAAGCTGACATGTGGCGGTGACGACGCACTGGTATTGTCAGTAACGCCATGTTCACTGCCCCGCCTCTCAGTCTGTTGCTTTAGGTGAACTAAAAGAACAAAAGTCTTTAGTTATTATCAAACGTGTGAGCTATGGAGTTGCCAATTCATCATTGTCATGGCGCCCATGTCATGGCGATATCAATGATACATGAAATCAGACGCTTTTATTATGTGGTTGAGCTGCCAGACGCAACAGTTATCTGAATTTTAATCAGTCAAAAAGTGGCCCTTTTTAAGTGGTTTGTGAAATCAAAGAACTACATGGACTCTGTTAAAACCTTTGTGCAGTAGACTTTGTGAGAATCCTACTGTATGGAGAGTTTTGTTTCCGATTTGAGAATGCTGGGGATGACGCTTTGGCTTCTTGCATAAAAGCACGTGTTGGGGGGGGGGGTCTTTTCACGAACAGACACGAAACGAGCATTTCTAGTGAATAGGGAACATCCGAGATAGCCTTTTTTGAACATCTGCGCAGCAGATGACGTCAAACGAGACCTGGATAGGAGCGAGATTTCACGAGAGGTGGGGTTAAAATCTGACATTGAAACTTCTCTCGCGGTTGTGCACAAGTCTATGTTATAGGATTGCATTGAGTAAAATTTGGCGTTGTCATGTAATTTGAGATAGAGCAACGCAGTGGCGAATTGCTAATGTTGTGTCGTAGGGTGCATTGCACGAAAAAACCTAACCGAGAAAACCAGGAAAATGACCATGGATGACAGACACGACTGGCGAGAGAAGTAAAGTAAAGAAAGAGAAGTAGTTGGGCTTGAACAGATTAAAAGGACTAAGTGCCGACATATTTAAAGTACAGATCAGGTCGCAGTATTTTGTAGGAAGAAAGGGACCAACTGCAGACAACCAGCACCCGACACGTCACTGGCTTCATGGCATCAACGTATAGACCGTATCATCAACGGTCGAGGGACATATTAATAAGTAAGCATACACAATGTTCAGTTGCGTTTGTAACATTCCATGCCGGGTGGTCAGTTATGATAATTGCAAGTAAGATAGAAATTAAAGTTGGTATTTTACAACAACGTTTATCACATAATGATATATATTTCAGAAAACTAAGTGAGTTAATTATTTTTTTTATTTTAGAGCATGACAGACACAGCACATGTTATTGAACCAGGCAAGAACTGTGAGAATCATGTGGTCAGGATAATCAGATGTTGAAGATTGCTCAGTGTATATTAATCTCTTATGTCCTTAATTATTATGTTGTTGACTAAAATTATATCAGGAATCAACAGATGGCATTTTTGCCTGGGTGTCACTTATCAGGCATTTTCTTTATTACTTTAAAATGAAATATTTGGTTTTATGAATATATTTATATATATATATATGCCTATGTATTGTACTGCACTAGTAATTTAATGAAGAAAATAATTTTTCTTGCTAGTATCATTTTTATGTTACTCTAGTGACTTTTTTAATAACTATATGACACCTGTTTTTCATATCATTTACTCGGATCACAAATACAAGTTCGCCTTTGATGTTGTGTTTATTTGTTGAATTTGTGTATAACTGTCAATTAAATGCAATGATTCTGTGAACATTTCAACTTATATGTTGTCCATTTTAATACTTTCTTTTGTCATCTTTCCTGTCATTTAAGTCAGATCTGATCACAATGAAACTTACATTTTGTGAATGCTATCCACTAGTTTCTATAGCATCATTTTCATAAGTAAATAAATGAAGAAAATTAACTTTATGATCAAGTTTGAGCTTTTTGAACTAGTTACTATAAATTTAGTGAAATTAAAGCAAAGATGCAGGCAAGTCATATTGTTCTGATATGCAATCCATCAGTAAATGAAATGTCAAATGATTTTATTTTACTTCTTACTTCTAAAAATAAAGTTTAATAGTAAAACATTTATAAAGAAAAATAAGTTGCAGTTATAAAGCTTTTGTTGTTCAAATGGATCTCATGAATTGACCAGTCAATGAAGAACAATAAAAAATGAACAATATCTTTAATATGTCTATTTTGCATCCACTGGCACGTTTAGACAAGCATCTCTTTAAAATCCCAAAGACAGTAATATACAGTGACAATTTAAAAATGAAAGAGTGGATAACTATATAAAGTTCTTGACATCTACATCAGGGAAATAGTGAAAAAGGAAGATTGAAGAATATTTGCCAAAAAACAGAAGTAGGAAATTTCATATTGCAATAAGCTGGAGTTAACAATTTAAATTTAGTTATTATGATAACCTAAAAATGAAGCAATTAAGCCCTTGACAGCACTGGATTATTTTATTTACAAATGTCCAATGCTTGTAGAATGTACATGGACCTACTTTCAACATTGATCTCATTGAAAGCAAAACAGTCATGCCACTCCCATAAAGTGACAAAAAGGTTGCAAATGAATCTCACGTCAGTTGTACGTACATATTATATCAATACTTTTTCTTTATAAAGTGAAAAAAGAACAAGCCTGTAGCTCAAAAATTTTGGAAGTTCAGCTATTTTTCAAGTAAAGAAATAGCTGCTCTACTTCCTTGTGGTCTCCATATTTTAACCCCACCTCAAGGCAGATCTCGTAAAATCACGGGGAAATGTGGTCTTCTCGTTGAGAACCCGGACAACCTCTATTACCACATTAAGTTAAAACTAGTGTGCATTAAGACCGGTTTTAAGTTTTAGTTTACTCCATAGAGTTTGGCTTACTAAGCTTTGCTTTATGAACGTCATATAAGTTTGTGTCTCATTGTAAATGCATGTGTTTGCTTACTTGAATCATTTGAACTAGATTTATATATAAACTAGGAAAACAACTCAGAGAGCACGCCCCGGACAAGTGTAGAATGTCATCGCCACTTTGAACCATATCAGTTTTTATTTTTTCTACACACTGGTCAGTCAAAACAGTTTTTAATTTAACGATCATTTGGTATGGCGTATAGAACCCCACAGCATATCATTGCCTTATTTTTAATAATAATAATAATAATAATAATAATAATAAACAAACAACAAACAATGATTAAATAAAAAAAATTAATTTAATTAAAGAGAGAAAAAGATCCTTCCTCATCCTCGTCAAAAACCAAAGTGACCCATTTCCTCACCTGACCGCCCTACTGCCCCCCGCGGACATCGGACACCGGCCAGTAATTATTTAAACTGACAACAGGTTTCTTTTTAAAAACTTGATATATCTTTAATGTAGTGGACATTCAAGGACATTGGTCGATGGAGGCGACAGTGTAGTATAACAGTGCTTTGTGACTTATAGACGAAGTTACGGGGTTTAAAGTTCAGTGGAATAATGTTAAAAGAAAAGACAGATGAGTCGTCTTAGTAATGTGTTAAAACCATGTCCAATAAAGCCCCGCGGACTTTACCTATTATCTAGAGTTCTTAGCAAAAAAAAAAACATTTATTTGACCTTTAGATATTTAGAACATAGTTTACTTTTAGGAGAATTTATGGCAGCACAGTGAGACCTAAGCTTGCAGACAGGGTGAGAGGGAGGGTGCCATTTAGATCGCTTTGAAGCAATGAAATCAAGTCCCAGACAAAGTTGATTACCTCTTACAAAAAAGAATTGGTACAGTTGTATAACGGTTTAAGTCAGATCTGAAAAAAGCAGTCTCCTCTCTCTCTCTCTCTCTCTCTCTCTCCACCCCACCCCACCCCACCCTAACCCCACCCTCTTACCAACAAGCTTGCATATAGTACGTACAGACATACACGCACCAGGTAAATTCTGTACACGCATGTCAGCAAACAAGAGTATTTACCTGCTCAAAACATTTCGCTATTAGACTTGACATATAGGCTTCCAGACAGTATTCAAGCAACAGCACCAAAGCCACGGATAAGGTATGCATGTTGATTCCAGAACGACAACAAAAGTATTTTTTTCGTGGGTCATTAATTCAGTTATAAATATAACACTACTTGATAACTTCAATTTTGCAACATTATACTTTTTACCCATACGGGACACTACCCCGCTTTGTTAGCTGTGATCGGATAATCACATATGATAGCGTAACCCGAGCAGGCATGATCCAAGGTTATAAAAAAGTGGAGAACCGCTTTTAACCACCTCATATTGCGTTTTCACCTCCCTGTTGCTCACTGCCTTAAAGACGCATCCCTGGGGATTTGCACTTTACACCCCCAACATGGATAACTCTGTGATAAAATTCCTGCAAGACGCACAACTTGACCACAAGGTGAAATTTTTTGATGATCTGGGTGTTTGGGTCCTTAATGACATGAAACTTGTCAAAGTCGACGAGCATCTCAGGGATTTTAGTAAAAAAGAAAAACAGCACTTCGAAAAGGCGTTACAGAAATTGGAGAAGACAAGTAAGTGAAATGCGCTGTTTATAAAGTTAATACACAAAGCAGGTTATAAAAACACGAAAAATACAAAAGAAGAAAATTGAATGAAAATTACTCCAAATATCTAGAAATTACGATTCAAATTAAAATAGTTAGGTCTTCACTTATTTTCGTTATGAATTCTATCATACCTAAAAATTTTGACATTATAAGTCGATGTTGTTGATGCGGGCTCGTTTTAAGTGTGGAGGGATATTCACGTCAAATCCCTAGGCTTTACTATATGTGTGGCGACAACAAAGTTACAAACAGTACTAGAAAAGCACTCCGAGAGCGCAGACCTCCTCCAAGGCAGCGATTTTTGATTATTATTGATTATTGATTGATTATTGATCCGGATCACCACCAAAAACTAATCACTTCTAAGTTAACCCATTTCCCACCTACCCTGAAAATTTCATCAAAATCGGTCCATAACTTTTTGTGTTATGTTGATGACAAACAAACAGACAGACAAACAAGGGTGATAGTAGGCTTGTTAAGAACCAAAAAATGGCCAAACGCTGCATTTTGTAGTACAAATGTCTAACTTGGCATAAATGTTCCTTGGGCCAAAAGAAAATTTTTTATCCAAAGAGACGCCCTCTATCGATACATTAATTAGCATAAATTATGCAAATTATGTGCCAAAAGATATAATATTTCATATTTCCATTAATTTTTGGCTTAGAAACATTTATAGATTATCAAACCTGACTAAATTAGGGACAAGGAACCCATTTTTGATCATTTGGAAGCAATTGGTGGCCATTTTGTGCCTCAAATTCAAGATGGCCGCCACCCGCCATTCTGAAAGTGGACATAATTTTGCTATTTTATGTTGAATTTTGAAGCGTTTGGTCTATNGAATATTCAGTATCTTTTAGTGGATGGTCACTTAAGATAAATCTAGACGATATATTTGAGCATGTGGTTTGGGTTCCACATTTTTGTAACAGACTCAACGAAACTCATCTTGGAATTTATTTTACAACCTTATATTACCTTTTTATTATCTTCTGTCACCAAATTAGCACTGGAAAATTACTTTTGAGCCCCAAGAATAGTGCCATTTTACCTAATACAAGCGAATGAGGGTCCCACAGTTCAAAGATTATAAATAACACCAAATTATTAAAATAGCGGCAAGCAACCATCACTTGGTTTTGATCAAAATAATGGCTAACAATTTTCCTCATGCGGTCAAAGATGTATTCTTTTGCTTTAATTCAGCCATTTTGTTTGCTGACACTTGTTTTATAGATCGGCAAAAGCATTTTTGTACTAATTGGATTACTCATTGTACATATAAACTGCAGGTCCATGTAGCAACTGAATCCTATATTTATTTGGAGGCTTATAAAAGTTTCTATTTACATTTTATGAAACCGAAAATGCATTCTGCTCCAGGAAATAATAAAAAAATGACGTATGGCACGCTTATGAAGGTGTGATACAAAATGGTGAATAATGTTCAATTTGAAAATAGCGTATGAGGGCCATCTTGGATTTGAGGCACAAATTTTAAGAAACAAATAATGTATTCTGCACCAGAAAATAATATAAAACGACGTATTACTCATTTACAAAGATGTAGTACATGTAGTTTCAAAATAGCGAATTATGCTCATGTTCAAAATGGTTTTGGCGGCCATCTTGGATTTGAGGGATAAAACGGCCACCAATGGCCTCCATAATGGTAAAAATGTGGGTTTTTTTGCTCATAATATAGTCCAGTAGCAATGGTATATAACAAGAAATTGCATTGAAATATATATTTGAATACGGGTTATCAATATCCATGGTTTTGCAGCGTACACACATATGTGGTAGGCACTTAAAACACCCTCTTTGTCCATTCAAATCACCTACTATCACCAAAACAATATCACAAATGACTTTTTCACACCTAAAATAGTAGGAATCGATATTTATATCAAATATATATAGACCAAACGCTTCAAAATTCAACATAAAATAGCAAAATTATGTCCACTTTCAAAATGGCGGGTGGCGGCCATCTTGGATTTGAGGCACAAAATGGCCACCAATTGCTTCCAAATGATCAAAAATGGGTTCCTTGTCCCTAATTTAGTCAGGTTTGATAATCTATACATGTTTCTAGGCCAAAAATTAATGGAAATATGAAATATTATATATTTTGGCACTTAATTTGCATAATTTATGCTAATTAATGTATCGATAGAGGGCGTCTCTTTGGATAAAAAATTTTCTTTTGGCCCAAGGAACATTTATGCCAAGTTAGACATTTGTACTACAAAATGCAGCGTTTGACCTCTTAACAAGCCTACTAATGTAAACCCACCTAATTGAGTCATGTATAGCAATCACAACTACTGCAATTGTGTTGGTTGTTGGTTGCTGTGAATAAAAAAAAAAAGATTTTGCAATTCTGTAAAAAAGTCTTCAACATTGAAAGAAGAAATCATTCAAATGCAATTCATAATTTTATTAGAACTAGAAATATTTTTTTTTAGAAATAATATCTCTAGTACATCCTCCAAGTGCAGGGACATGAAAATTTAATTCTCATTCAGAGATAATTGTTTCATTTTCAAAAAAATATTTTTTTTATTTTCATTTTGAAAATACAGAAAATAGTGACTTAAGTATGTATGTTATTGTAAAATATTAATTCGTTTTAATTAGGGTTTATATATTTTTAATTTTTTAATTAATTTATTTTTTCAGATACAGTGGTATTGGCCAACATTTTGAGGGTATGGACACAGAGGATATTCCAGGATTCCTCCAGGGGGGATGCTGGCTATCCTCTGTGCCCATATCTGATGACACCAAAAACAAACCCTCTGACAGAGCCAGACATAACATACAACAGGGCTCATATCTCAACTTGAAACACCATGTGTGTGATTTTCTCTTTTGAGACATGATACAGTTACTACTTTCTCTTTCTTGAGAAATGATACACAATCCATTGATTATTTAGCTTTTACCCAGTAATAATAAAAAAAGAATCTTTCATTAATTTTTTTACTATTAAAAGAACAATATTTTTGTTCTAAAATATAGCATGACAGCTGTACTAGGTCAATTTTTTGGGAGCTTTTACATAATAGATTTAATTTAATTTTCTATTGTATTTTTTAGCTGAGGAGACAGTAAAACCCACACCAAGTCAGGCATGTCCTTGCAAGAATGGTGTCAAATGTAAGCCAGATCCAGAAACTGGTGGGCTGGTGTGTTTGTGCTTGAATAGTAAGTATCTGGGTTAGAAAAACAATGACAAAATATTGAAAATGTTGTTGTAATTGAGATGAAAATGTGATTTGTGTCAATAATCACAAAGCGCGGCAAACACATGAAGACTTTAATAGGAAGAGAAAATATAGGCTGATGATTTTACAAAATCAAAATTACAATCATGGAGTTCATGGAGTTGAGGAAAACCAGGGTTTGCTGTTGTAAACTACTTTGTATCTTGTAAAATCTCAGGCCTGTAGCCATCAATTTCAAAAAGGTTTTGTTTTTCTGAAAAAGTGGGCCTTTTCCAATGAAACCTTTGTGTACCTAGATCAAATTTTACCCAGAATAGACTTTTTCCTGACAAAAAGGATGCTTCTTTTGAACCCTTGAACCCCCCCCCCCCTCCCTGGCCACGGGCCTGAATCTACTCAAGTTTATGGGATGGTATTAAAGAAAAATGCAGCATAGCTTGCTTACATCTGAAATGGTGTAGTAATGTTTTTGTTTTTATTTTATTTAAGTCAATATTTTTGTCACACTGTATTAAAATTAATTTGATCAAATTTCAGACTATTATGGGGAATACTGTGAAAAGGAGCCTTCAGCATTCACTGGAGCTGATGCAAGTTCACGAAAGTTGAAATGACCATAGAATCTTTTCTTAGATCCTTTTTGAGGTCAATTTGAAAAACTGTATTAACTTTAAATTTTAATTTTTTTGATTATCATATCTCACTTTAAAGAAAAATTTGTTAAGCCATCTAAATGATATCAAATGCATCTTAGAAAATAAGGTATTCAGTATCAAACTGTTTTTTCTTAAAGGCACATAAGGTATAATCATTGTAGCAATTATTAAAAGATTCATTTAATATTTATTAGAAGTCCAGATATTAATGTTTTGGTAATGATATCAAAGGATTACCCCGCATATTAAAATAGTTGTTGCTATGATTTCAGTATGAGCAAGGCCCTGCATTCCAGTGGTGGAGACAAGTTCAGACTGGGGCACCTGCAGGAGCGGTGGCTTTCCATGGAGGAAATGTTGTGGCCATCAGCATGCCAGACTTTGTATACGACAGCTCTGTGGCACAGAATGTGGTAAACATAGTCACTTATTGTATAGAAATGTAATCAGTAAAAGATTTGAGGGTTGAATTTGGATACTCAGTTGACAAAAAAGACAGAAGATTTGGAACTTTGAAATACTCATTATTTTGCATTTATAGTAGAAAATTGTGTTAAGCTTCATTTTTTTATTTTTATTTTTTATTTATTTTTTTTTTGTTTATTTGTTTTTTACCAATTGCCCATGAAAGCATTTTATATTTATGCTTCGTAGCTGGAAGTTTTCTTTTTATTCATTGGTTTAAAATGCTCATCCTTTTTCTCATAGGATGCAATGGAACCAGAGTACAACAAAACAGAATTTTGAAGACCACAACAAACTGACCAATTTCTCCAACCCAATGTATGGCAATATGACAGGATTAGAACTTGTTAAACCTCCAAACAAAGGACATGACCAACCCCACTCACTCCAATGGGGTAGCAGACAACCAGTCATCAGAGATCACAGTCCATATACCACATAAATAACTCTGTTCTTCAGATAGAAAAACAATTACGACACTGATGTTTTAGTCACTAATAGNTAAATGTTTCTAGGCCAAAAATTAATGGAAATATGAAATATTATATATTTTGGCACCTAATTTGCATAATTAATGCTAATTAATGTATCGATAGAGGGCGTCTCTTTGGATAAAAAATTTTCTTTTGGCCCAAGGAACATTTATGCCAAGTTAGACATTTGTACTATAAAATGCAGCGTTTGACCTCTTAACAAGCCTACTATGAAAACAAATGCTCAGGTATACTTCATCGTTATCGCGACTATTAAAAAAAGTCTTCCGTTTGACATTTGGTGTAGATTAGTACTAAACACAGACATGCACGATTTGTTATTTAAGATGCGACACCATTTTGCATATGAAAAAATTCAAACGACGAATTTCTGTTTCGATTTATGATGTCTCAGTGCCATATTTTAATTGATGATTTATGCATCATAGGAAAACAGGGGATATAGAACCAAAACTTGATGTCGAGAAAAAAAGTTGACATATACGTGTAAATCCTTACTTTTCATTGACGAACAGCGGAAATCTAGGAATGCATTACACTTCAAATCACATTTACCGTAGGTAGGTTTTCTCTCCCACATTTACTGGCTCCAAGCTTAATATTAAGTCGCTAGCGGACATTGCAAAAATGACAAGTTATATCTAGGATTAAAATAAATTTATTTTGAAGCATAGGTTATATTAAGGCATTCTTCTACCCAAATAGAAGATAGAAACTACATTCTGAACCTGATGTGGGGGTCGAAATCTAATAAGTACGATGCAGATAAAGTTAAGACACTTATGTCCATGTGGGCAACTGAAATCACTTACTGGTATTTGGTCATCTCAGTCATGCATAAGTTTGTCCTTTTTTTTGCACATGCACAATTTTTGACCAGAACTTCATCGAATGGTGATGCAATTTCTAATTTTAGAATTTAATTTATTGATAATGGCTTAATTTCTGTGCTCGGCCAGAAGCAATATTTGTAACCTTATGCCAGAGCATCTCCGATGGTTCAACAACATGAATATTAACATAAAATAATAAAAGAGAATATAAAAAAAACGTGCCCCCAAAAAATACTTAACAGACCGTGTCTCACCACCCGTTAACCTGACATAAGTGTGACATAGACATGATGTCTCTTATCGTCCTTGTCCATGACCTTGTAGTGTTGCCCGATACGCATGTTTACAAGTACATCTAAAGGCTCTGTCACCTAAAGAGGTGGGACCTACATATAAGTATCGTCTGTGAAATCGATCATACATACAACTTTGAGCGCATGAAATCACCCTTATTCCTGCGAATAAGCAGAGTATGGCATTGTTGTTGAACCTGCTCAAAACATTTCATCTCCCTCTATACTATGCGAACGCACACCAGCGTTTGTCTGCGTACTTGAGACGTAAGCGACGTAAGTCTTATGAACCTCTTGTGTTGTGGGGGCAATTTCACACCCGTCAGTGCTATATGCTAGGTGTGACAGAACCTTGTGGAATCAGGAGTGGCAACATACGTCTATTCAAGTCATTTAAATTTGGTATCACTTGTGAAAAAGTTGTTCTGGGTGTTAATAACATATTTTCAATATAGAAGCATATGCATAGCAAAAAATATTCGTTTTTGGGAGTAAACAAAATAAATCTAACGTTTTTTCCTGCAGCCTAGCTCTGTCATTCTAGGTAGAATCTTTTTCTTTTGCGTAACGAGGCCATTTACGCCTAAAGTTTTACTAGGTCCGAATTTGTTTTGAAGCCGAGCGGCAAATTTGGGGTAAGGTTGTTATCTTAAAAAAAAGGCATATTTATGATTTACTAATTAACAAATTAAATTCTCTATCAAATATTGGGCAACCTATCGTTTAAGTTATTTAGTAAAATGCTACATCAAAACAAGGTATAACAATGTTACGGAATACATGTACCGACTTAAATTTTGTCACCGAACTCTTAAGCAAAAATTATTCTGTCCAACGAAAAATATTTTATACATTTTTTATATGTAAGACTATTATGAATAACTGCGTAAATGTATTTATTTTGTTAAACCAGTCAAACTATACTGAACATTAAATTTCCCCAACCACCTACCGTGTCTTTGTGACAGCCATCAAGACATTTTATACATTTGTTGTGTACATTGTGTCTGCGCAGGTTGTTTTCATATTATTAAAAAGGATAAATATCATTGATATCGAATAAAAATATGCTATCAAGTTCTGACGTGGCCCCAGACATATCAAATGATATGTACGACACAATTAGGGTTTCAACCTCAATGTCAAAGAAATAACTTACAAGTATAGACTAATCCAGTTCAGTGCCTTGTACATGTATCGAGGTTCTAGGCCCTGAATCCGCATAAACGGATCTACACTGTAGACTTATAATGATGAGGTTTCGCGGTGTATTTTTATCATAAAAAAAGATAACATATGTGACATGTTCTGTCTGGCTGGAGACAAGAGTCGCCCATGACATACGCTGACTGTGATAAATATAACAAGAAATAGACCTACTGTGTAAATGTCCCTACCGTGGATGTTAAATTGCGTTGATTTCTGTTTGTTTGTTTCAATAGTGTTTTCCATTTACGTGGTTCTACCGATATTTTTTCCAGTACTTTCCCAGTTAGTGGAGTCCTTTACATAAGTACCTTCTCCCTTAGATAGTAGTCAAACTTGTAGATTATTGCTGTGGAAGCTTATCTACATCGTAGGCTACAATGTATGATATAAGATTGTGGATTAAACTATAACTGCACAATTACTCTTATTTCAGAGGAAGGCGTGAAGACAGATGAAAAGGCCACCCTCTGTTCTGGGCAGAAATTGGGAGAGGAGGGAGAGGTCTTCACTGTCAATGGTCAAAGCAGAACCAAGCACCATGAAGCCGAGGAGGACAGAGAGGCACCCGCCTCTAGGGGTTGCTGTGCGAGCCTCTCTGCCAGCTGCGCCAGAACTTGCCGCCCATGCAGTGCTAAACACAACCCCCTACCCCCCGGGGCTTCAAGGGGGGACAAGTTGAAGCACGCTTTTCTCTGCCCACCCCACGGCCTCGTGGCCAAGATGGCGGTTCTGGTAACGTCAGCGGTGATGCTGTGGGCATGTCTATGGGCCGTCACTGGAAAGGAAGCGCTCCCTGGCGGCAACTTTTTCTCCATACTTGTACTGCTTATTTGCTGCACGATCGGTGGATATGTGTCCCAACTCTGCCGTCTACCGCCGCTGTTTGGTAAGTATACGGGGCACGTGGTACTTGAATTTTCACAACTGACACATTTCATGGAAAAGGCGTCTACGACCCGACGCAATCACAAGTCACACCTAACGCAGTCCCTTTAACAAACGCGACGTGCAATAGCACTGTTTGGAATGACGTGCTGGGTGGGGCACGTTAACCATGATAAGATAATTATGCTGTAATATCTTATGACACATTGTGCATTAAAAAGAAAGATACGAACATCTATAGATATGTATTTCATCACAATATTACATCAAATGTATGTCTACATATATTATTACTGGATATTTTTAAATTTCATACCTGCATATTTCATGCATGTTGTATATTTCGGTCTTGCAGGCATGCTGGTGATTGGTTTCTGTCTACGTAACATACCTTACATCGACATTGCTAAACATATTCAGCCAGCGTGGGCATCATCTCTCAGGTATGTGACTAAATTTGGATGAATTACATTTGCACGATTTTTACATGCAAAAACAAATGGTCAACAAAGAAAAAGGTAATTTAATTTCATTAGCATTGACGTTGGTTCCAATTTTTTTCAACCATGTCAGTCATAGGTCAGGAAATAGTGGCGCAAGGGAGATCCCCCTCTATGCATCGCTTTTGTTCCACACATTTAAACTTTGCTTCCCAAGTGCCTGTATTACAAACAGAATGGTGAACATTTATAGACATTAGATTTGTTTTTGGAAAAGAAGCTAGAAAAACACATTTTCAAAAAAGTAAGAATGATAATTCTGAAAAAAGTACATACATAAAACCTTTGATTGTCAAATAACCTTTCTTGCCATATTATCTGTTCACCAATTTCTAAACATTGCACATTAAATTCAGTTTTACAATTTTCTTGTACATCCTCATAGGTCTGCCGCACTGGGATAGGTCTGGATCCTGTGGCACTGTAATTATCTTGTATATTTCTCATAGGTCTGCCGCACTGGTTGTACTCTTGGTGCGAGCTGGGATAGGTGTGGATCCTGTGGCACTGAAATTATCTTGTATATTTCTCATAGGTCTGCCGCACTGGTTGTACTCCTGGTGCGAGCTAGGATAGGCCTGGATCCTGTGGCACTGAAATTATCTTGTATATTTCTCATAGGTCTGCCGCACTGGTTGTACTCCTGGTGCGAGCTGGGATAGGCCTGGATCCTGTGGCACTGAAAAGACTGTCCTGTGTTGTGATACGGTTTGCTGCCATACCTTGCTTCGTAGAAGCTGCCGCAGTCGCTGTACCCAGTCACTGGTTGCTGAACTTCGGCTGGGACTGGTGCTTTATGCTGGCGTATGTATTCTATATGTTGTGCATGCTTTAATATTCACTGCTTAGGCAGGTATGTTCACTTATAAGTTACACTGATAGAAAATGGAATTATGATGTATAAAAGAAACTTGTTAACTTTTCCAAAAAGGTTTCGGAAAAGTATTGAAGTAGTTCTTCCCCGGTCTTCAGACGGAACCCTGATAGGTCCGTAGCCCGGGAATAGGTCCACTTTTGCTGGGAATAAGTCCACTTTGGGTAACATTTGATCTAGGTTCATGAAGTTTTTATGGAAAAAGGTCCACTTTTTTAGAAAAAAGGAACCCCCCTTTTAAAATTGCTGGCTAGGGGCCTGCCTGATAACATCAATTTCAGGTTGTTGTAATTGAAAAGCGTTCAATTCAGCTTTGGGCAGTTCTTTATCACATTATATCACTTATTCCACATATAAAAAACTCACAGACTCACTAAATTTCAGTTTTGTATTGGCGGCTGTTTCCCCAGCAGTTGTGGTTCCGAGTATGCTTCACGTGCAGGAGGAGAGACTGGGTCTAGATAAAGGTATCCCAACCCTTGCCATAGCCGCATGTAGCATTAACGCTGTGATCGCCATCAGCGCCTTCGGGGTGTTTCTGGGTATTGCATTTTCCACAGGTATGTCCACATGACACACTGACATATAGCCTTATGATGATTTTTTTTACCGTTGATTTATTCCTTTATTATGAAACTTATCAATACTGACAATAAAGTGTCGAATTTCAAAGCACTTATTTTTACTATCTATACAAATACAAAGCGCCAGAAAAAAATGATGTGTTTATAAGGGAGATGTACATAACAATCAAGACGAAATATCCTATAACTCTACGTTCAATAAATTCAATAACTGTTCTCCTCATCTTCTTTGGCCTTATCCAAAATAGGGGACTAACTAGCCCGAGAGTCAATTATAGCGACCCACTGCAAAGCTTACCGTCTAATCCACTAGTCACTGAATAGATATCCTGTGGAAAAGTATTCAAGTGGGTCGGTCATATTTGACCCTCGGACATACTAGTCCCCTATTTTGAATGAGGCCTTTGTCTGAAAATGTCGTAATTATCTGACGTCTAATACCATATCTCTAGGAGAGTTGGCATTAACAATAGTCCGAGGTCCCCTGGAGGCTCTGCTAGGTGTTGTGTATGGTATCGTCCTGGGGGTCTTGTTGTGGTATGTACCACATAGACACAGTGTAAGTATATGTCATTGTAAATGTTATCTAACATTATTGAGTTTAAATCTTAGTCACGATTCCCGTGTCTGTTTATTCCCCTTCCTTTTTATTACACAAAAAATTCATCATAATTATTTGTTGTTTATATTGTATTTAAAAAAATGAAAAAAACATCGTTTTCCCCAGTTTTTCTAAACTCAGTGACATAATCCATTTATATTCACCCCAAGGCCGNCAGGTGTGTTTTAGAGAGTATTTTAACTTATTCAGTAACTGTTTGGTATGGACGTGCAACTGTGGAGGAGAGGAACAAGTTGGAAAAGATCGTCGAAACTGCAGGGATTGTAATTGGAACAGATCTAACTCCCGTCCATACTATATATCTAGACAGGACTAAAAAGAAAACATTATCAATAATGACAGACAGTTCCCATCCAGCCCATACCCTTTTTAAATTTTTACCTAGCAATTCGAGACTCTTAGCTTTTAAGGGTAGTAAGCGATTTTTAAATAGCTTTTATCCTTCGGCAGTAACTATTTTTAACTCTAACATGTAATTTTAATTTTCATTTTTTTATATTTCAATGGCGCTACTACAGGGCAAAAGATTCCCGATTTTATACATTTGTATTTTATTGGCTTAATAAATTATTATTATTATTATTTTATAAAATTAAACAATTTTTTACTGTAATAACTCGATCTTTCAATGGGGAAAATTGCGAATTTAACGATGTTTTTTAAGTCATATTTTTAATTAGAACATTTCTGTTAATTGGTAAAAAATGAAAAATGAAAGGTTTTCTGTTCTTTATTTTTAGATTATACAGAATACAATTTTTAATGATTTCAAAAATATTCATCTGCTGAGAGAGAAAGATTGATATTTTGTCTTCCTTTTTGAAAAGATTGAGTCATGCCATAATTATCTTATGATCATGATATTGTCTTCACTTATAGAAAAGTATTGTCTTCTTCCGTACTTTCCTGGTGTTTGGAGGTTCACTGTTTGCATATTTTGGAAGTAAAGCCGCCAAGTTATCAGGTGCAGGGGCTTTGGGAAGTCTGGCTATTGCATTTGTGGCTGCCCAGGGATGGAGAAGACAAGGTTGGAGCAATGACAAGGTAAGGTTCACAACTAACACAATGACCGGAGCAATGACAAGGTAACGTTCACAACTAACTCAATACAGGAGCAATGACAAGGTAAGGTTCACAACTAACTCAACACAGGAGCAATGACAAGGTAACGTTCACAACTAACACAATGACTGGAGCAATGACAAGGTAACGTTCATAACTAACACAATGACAGGAGCAATGACAAGGTAACGTTCACAACTAACGCAATGACAGGAGCAATGACAAGGTAACGTTCACAACTAACACATTGACAGGAGCAATGACAAGGTAACGTTCACAACTAACACAATGACAGGAGCAATGACAGTAACTTTCACATCACACATTGCTAAGGAAGTAAAGGTGGGCAACCCTCTCCTCTATAATAAGTGAGATGACATTCAAACCCTGAACCCATGATAAAAGTACTATATTTAAATCAATCAGACATTTAGCTTGATGTTCAAGTTCCATTTAGACTTTTTTCCAAAAGATCTGTTTTAAATATTGTAGTTGCATGACCTCATTTGTGTTGTATATGATCTTCTTTATCTGGCAGAACCCAGTTGGTGCTGTGATGGCCAAGTTTTGGATCATCTTCCAGCCATTGTTGTTTGGTCTGATGGGGGCAGAGGTGAAAGTGGAAGACTTACAAGGAGGCAATATTGGTAATGGTTTCTTCATAACCAGCTTCTTCATGATATTCTTTTGTCTTACATATTTCATTTATTGAACATATACTTCATTGCTATTTTGTTTTAAGTCAAACTGTAAATATTTCATGTTTGTAGATGTTATTATTACCACAGCGCTCCATGAATCACAACTGAAGTTTTTTTTTTAAAATGCACTTGAGGCATTGACAACCACATATTTCAAAATTTCTTCATTGGACAACGTTAATTTAGGTTAGGTTAATTTAAGTTTTATATCTATTCACTTTAACACAAATTTCTGTCCAGGAATGGGTTTGGCCGTGCTGTTCATTGGACTATTTCTCCGGCTGGTAGTTTCATTTTTCACAGTATTTGGCACAGACTTGAATATGAAGGAAAAAATCTTCATGGCCATCAGTTGGTTTCCTAAAGCTTCTGTTCAGGTATGTTTTTTATTAAGCTCTTCCTGTGTGAGAGAGAATATTTCAGTGGTTTTGTGTATCAAAAATCTAAAATAAATTTTGATTTAGAAGTAATTTTCTGTGAAACTCTTGCTCAACCACTGCCACCTTCCACTGTCAGCCTTATTGGTCCATATTTGTGATTGCTTGTAATTATATTTCAAGGTTGCCATTTTTAGTGGTTTTGTGTATCAAAAATTGAAAATAAATTCTGATTTAGAAGTAAATATCTGTGAAACTCTCTCAACCACTGCCACTTTCCACCTATTTGTCCATATTTGTGATTGCTTGTATTTATATTTCAAGGCTGCTATTGGCCCTGTAGCATATGACACAGCTAAGGCTTATAATGCTGGCCCAGAGGTCCTAGCACTAGGAAAACAGGTACACAACACTGGCACATTTATCACACTGGCACTTTCAAAATATAAGATAAGATAATAATTTATTAAACCAATAAAATACAAATATATAAAATCGGGAATCTTTTGCCCCGTTATAGCGACATTGTTGAATAAAACTTTTTAAATATACTAAATGAATTATGTATTTGTTTTAAAAAGAGTTACTGATAAGGGATAAAAGCTAGATAAAAATTGCTTCCTACCCTTAAAAACTAAAAGCCTTGAGTTACTGGGTGAAAATTTGAATACGGTAACTCTGACTGGGTACAGAATTTTGAAAAAAAATTAGGAAAATATGACATGAAATTAAATATGGACACAAGCTATTGATAATTTCACAGTTATTTGACTAAATTATACACTTTTCTATTATTTAAGATACTGACAATTGCTGCCCTGTCAATCCTCATAACAGCACCACTCGGAGCGGCAGCCATTGCACTAACTGCGCCACGATTCTTGAAGAAAATCCCCAAGGAGGAGGAAAACATTGACAAAGACAACATGGACTTTGAGGCTCAAGGAGACAATGAAAGCAAATACCAAGAGGGCGAGAGTTCCAAACTGTAATTTGAACAGTTTTGAGGGAAATAATTTTGATTGTTATGGGTGACATCTTTCAAAGTGACGGATCCAGGAAGACTTTATTTTTGACAGCAGATCAATGAACTCTTGTTTGGTAAATCTGGACAACAGTTCATTAATTAAATTTATTCATCAGTTAACAAGTGTGCTCACAGACCAACATCAAGTTTTGTCTGACCTAAGCAATAAGTGATGCGGGAGTGATGCATAGCCGACTTGAATCCAGAGAAACCAAAAATCCAAAATTGGCACAAAAAAGACTATAAATTTTTGCATTAAAGTTAAGTTTTTGACACGTCTTTTTTCTTTGTGAAATGTGGGCACTAGTTTCAACTCAGTCACCACATGCAACATTATTTTTCACTAGCTTTATGTATTTTTATATCTATACATCATAATCATAAAAATGATGTTGGTATAGAAAATCAGTTTTAACAGAGAACGGCAATACAAGGCATACGTATCAGCATTTATTGAGGCCAATGGAATTCATTTATATATTGCATTCATCTTTGTAGCATTTCAAATCTTCTTTTACTGATAGCTTGTTATGGAGTATTATGTGTTTGCTGGAATTCACTACATGCTTGTTGTAATCTGGTATGAAATGCTCAAATCTATAAGAAATATCAATACTCAGTCTTTTCTTTTCATTTTGGTCTAAAATAGATTTGTTTGTTAAGGAAATTAACCATGTTTTAAATTTTAACCTGTATTTTAATAAAGGGTACTTTTCTTGCATTTTGTTTGTCACCATTATTCAACACATGATTCTTATCAAAATGTATTTTATCTTTATTGCAAATTGTAGTAATTGTCACTTATGGTATAAACAAATCAAGGAAAACTACCAAACCATTTTAGCCCCTTTGCTGGTAAATATTTCTCCTCCAGAAATTTTGCATCGCTTTGTCCCAGCTGTGACATTTTATGTAGATTATAAATTAACAAAAGCTCTGGGATAATAACTCTTTGTATGAGATCTATATTTCACAATAAAAACATTGTGAACTCATAGAAATATAATATATTCTGTTTTACCACAAAAACGGCAGTTATAGCTATTATTCTGATATCTGAGCTTGTCTTCAGATCACGTGACCTCCATTGATGGCTGTACTCTGTTATAATCTCTTAAAGCAATAATAACTCTTCCTTTGAGATTCAAAATTCCGCAAGAAATACATTGTAAACAACTCATGGACATATATTCTATTGCATTTTACCACTAAAACAGCCGTTATTGTAGTAAAACTAAAATCTGTGCTTGTCAATAGGGCTTTCGATGCCTTTCTTCCCGGTCGTCAAGGCTTCTGTTGCCAATGACGTTAAGGTGTCACGCGGATTCTCGCATTCATTCGAGACCAGAATAACATCTGGCGCCAAACCCCTGATGCAATACACAGACGTAAGTTGCGAGTTTTTGTACAGTGCGTCGGATAACAAAAAGACCAGAATTGCACACATTGTAGATATAAATGCATTTTGAGCAATAAGACGGATATATCTTATGAATCTTATATTATTGTTATATAGCGTTGTTGTTGTCTGCTTTTCCCGCGGTTATAAGTAGGTCACTAGAAACTATCGCTCAATGTCGCGTGACTATGCAATGTCAGAGAGGGCTCCGTTTAGGAAAAAAAAACCTGGACTAACTATGAATGCAGGAATGGGGTCGTTGACCATTGGTAAGTACGGGAAAATTGCCGTTTACTCCAGGAAAATCCAATTTTTGACCAAAACAAAGAGTTATTATGACTTTAAGAGATTTTAACAAAAAACCAAACTTTTTAGAAAAAAACCAGGGACTAACTTTGAATGTAAAAATGGATTCATTAACCATTGGGAAGTATGGGAAAGTTGTTATTTACTCCAGGAAAATCCATTTTTTGGCCAAAACGAAGAGTTATTATCCCTTTAAGTGGCTCAGTGAGCACATAACTCTTAAGTCATAATTTTCAATTCTTTATTTCTTCAACATCTCCAAATAACAATTAAAATATGTTCAAAACAGAAGATCAACTTATAAAAGATTTCATATCAAAGGAATATTCATAATGGGTTTAGCGTTTTTTTTTTCAACCACCAATACACTACCCCTGATTCCTTATCTAGAAGTAATACCATGTAAAAATGTTTCAAATTAAAACCATGGCAACAAAAACAATTTAACACAATCAGTTCGTTTAAAATATATCAAAATGCGATGTCCTCAAGACAATATTCAAGCACTTAACTGCACATCTTAGTAAGTAAAAAAAAAAAAAAAAAAAAAACTTGTTGANAAAAAAAAAAAAAAAAACTTGTTGAACATTACAGCACTGAATTACAGTATCCATACAATGTCAAATATATTTTACAATTAAATAAAATAATAATAATTATTACGATGAATCTCAACTATATTTTTGACTAAAGGCACTTTAAAATTTTTCAAAAACACTTTCAGTCAGATGTAATTCACATATTAGAACATTTTCACAAAGCTGGAAAATGCTGCTATACAAAACAGTTATGACAAATACATAAAAACCCCATAACCTTTTCACTTTTACGACACTCAGTACATAAAAAAAACACTTCCTCCATCTAAACATGACATTTTCAACAATCATGTGTAACAGTCTTCGTAAAAAAGTACATTTATAACCAATAAAATAAATTTGCCTTCAGTGCCATATGACTAAAAAAAAAAACCCAATACATTAATGTCAATATGGGATAATTTGCATGCAAAGCATAGGTAAACTACTTTGAAAAAGTAAACAAAATTTAACAGAAAACAGGTCTGTGCATCCAGACAATTCAGAAAATTAAAAGGAATATACATGATAGATTTCTCCATGGAAGGTTTTAATGGTCAAAAGTGTATAATCATTTTTAATTCCTATTTCAACATTTTAAATTCCTTTATATACATTTGTTATATGATTTCTGAAAATCCTTCATAATTTTTCCTTTAGTTTAATAAAACAAGTGGAAAAAAGAGATAATTTAAAAGTGATCTTTAGGCTCCTTAGATTCAGTATTTCATAGTGAGGATTTGACAACCAGAGCAGTGAAGAGGAACAAAGCAAACCTTTCACAGTGATAAATCGTTAAAGAAAATGTAACACCCCTAGTATAAGGGCTGCTTTGTGAAATATGGTCTACAGCTTTAGAAGTCATTACTTTTTTTTCTTTCAGAAATTTGTTTTCCAGGAATCACTGTCCTGTTACATATTGATACAGGGACGATGTCCCAGGCAAAATTCCACTGACACCTCTAAAGCAAAGGATCCCAATGCATCAAGGAGGCCTAGGCAGAAGAGGCCATCAAGAAGTGGTTAAAATATGTCAGTGACAGAGATGGGGGGGGGGGGGGGAGGCTGGAGATGAAGGAAGGTAATATATTTAGCAGAAAAAAACACTTTCCTATAATATGCAAGAGGGTGGCATCTCTGACATAACAGTGGCTAACCACCGCTAGTAATAGCTCATAAAGACTTTGGCTCAACGTTGGCAAATGGTCGGCATAACAGTGGCTGACTGCCAGTTATCTGTAACATCAGCTGCCAACGTTGGCCCAGCCGTCGGCACAACCTCTGTTTGCTATCTGGGCAATCTTCGCAGCAACACAGTCCAAAATTATCACAACACTTCTACAAGTGAAAAACACTGAAGAAACTGAAGATGATTGCATGGATGATGATCTTATCAAAGACCTAGACTACGAGTCATGTTGTAAGGTAGACAACAAGTTTGATAATCAAGATTGTGAAAAGGCATTACACAGTGCCTCAGTCAAGAGAAGGGAAGTGCGTAGTAAGACATGCGCAATGTGTGCATGCGCAGTTGTAGAGAAGGTCATTCAAGAAGGAGAAGAAAGCGCGGATGCCTCTGAACACCAAAACAAAGTTTAATAGAAGAATCTCTGAGACTGCTGGTCATCCAGCTAAGGTAAGACCAATTTTGACATTTAAACCTGCTAGTTCAAAGCCCTGGTGCTATATTGGGGGCAGCTGGGTCAGATTTGTGCCATAATTAATGGAGACAAATTGAAGAATTTATCTGCCGTGGAGTTTTCGGGCCATGTAGCCGGACTGAATCTCTGGCATGTGTAAGTAATGCAATAGATGTGTGGACCACCACAATGGAAGTCTAGGGAGCGGCCGATGCCCCTTGATGAGCGAAACCAATATTTTATTGGTCACTAAAATTCCTTTATTTTTAGTCTCATCCGCTGATTTCGCATTTTGTCTTTAACGTAGAGCAGTATACAGTAGTAAATTTCTCATCGAAGAAGAACGGCGGAAAATTAGAGTAAACAAGCCAGCAAAACAGAATAGAAAGTGAGCATAGTAAATAACTACTACTTTATAGTTTAAAGTTCCAAGTTTAATATACTGGTATGTAAAAGTTGCCTTACGTACGTTTAAACGTCTAGTTCCAGTTAATGCCGTTAAGTGCTACCGACATAGATCGTAACTTTGCGTTTTCTACTTTTGTTAGCATAGTAATAGTTTGCGCATTGTTTCCTACAGTGCTCTAACGGGAATGATTAACTAGCATTTTATTTAATATTTCAATGAATAATGCCGCTTTTGGTAGAACAAAGGGGCTCAGGATATTATGTCATACTTCTCAGGTCATGTTTGTAACGGGTCATTAGCGAACGCTAGTACGGTTGTGTTTAGGTTTGCATTGCCTTGACGCGTGCGGTGTGCTCGCTGTATTTTAGTACGTTGAATGCGACCTATGATGTTACACGTACCACTCATGTTGTATGTATGGATAAGAGACAATTAGTGTTCGTCGTATTATGTCTGAATTACGTAATATTCTTACATAACTTGGTATTTTTGATAATTACTGGTTTTGTGTTATTTATATTCTAGAATAGACAGAGAGACGGCCCAATTGTATGAGCGGACTCCGTTTAGGTGTTTCATTTATCAGGGAAATAGTTCAATACAGATTCTGGAAACTAACTGAGACTTGTGTTTTATTTCTGTGACCAGATTTATCCCAATCACTGACAAAATAATAATTAGCCTGGCTACGCGTTTGCTACCAATTTTTGTAACTGTTATTTAAATTTTGGAAGAAAAACCCCCAGCACGGACTGGTGGGTGCATTTAAAGTACTTTTTCGGATAGTTTTTAGGAGTTTTTTTGGAAAAAACTCAAATTTTCATCAGCACGTGCGCTACAGCAGAAACAAAATGGCGACACACGCTAGAATTTTTGTTGACTTCGCCAACGTAGGGAATTACTGAGGATACTGGGTTTCATGGAGGACCAAGTATTTAAGATAGCGGAGCTGAGACACCCTGAGCTTCAGAGATAACTTGAAACTAACCTCTTCACTATAGCCTATCTTCATCGTGTTACCTCTGACGAAAATAGTTTGACCTAGTTTATATAACCCAATCAAATCAATGTTTTAAAATTTTTCACCAAACTTTGGTGAAAACGCTGATTGGTTGAAAGTCCAAAATGATGTCCAATGAGAAAATGGTATTTCATTGCGTCCACATAACCATACACAAAGAAAGCATGGCGTCTCCTATGAGTGACTACGTAAAAGAATGTGTTAAGTTACTTCTCGATTCTTTGCAAAATATGAATATGTCGAAATTGAAACCAGAGCAGTTTGAGGATCTGCATCATTATCTTCTGGGGGATGATGTATTTTGCTTGCTGCCCACAGGTTACGGCAAGTCCCTGATATTAACTCTTAACATCCCATACCGCCCGATACCGCCCCTGAGCCATAATCCCATACCGCCCGATACCGCCCGTAAACAATGGTTATCGATCGACATCGTTTTTCACTGCCATATCTTGTATAACTAAGCTCTCCAGTGTTTGGAGGTATCAAACGAAGTCAACGTGACTCAGTGAATTTTGACTATCGATTTTGAGCAATTTTTTAAAACTTTCGGACGTTAGACATCATAGGAAAATGGAGGACTCCGGTAGCGACAGTGATCCTGAATTTTCTCAATTCCTACAGGAATGTATTGAAGCAAGAAATAATGATTTTTGTGAAGATAATCAGAGTGACATTTCGGTGTCGTCAGTTCATTCTAGCGACCTGAGCGATCTCAGTGAGGGCGACAGCGACGACGACTATGACTTACCTGTTGGTCGACAAGATCAGGAGTGGACACGTAACGTTTGTAATCAACATCGTGAGCCGTTCACTAGTTTTGTTGGGCCAACAATGCCATTGCCTTTGGATGCTGAACCTATTGAATATTTTCTACAGCTCTTCCCTGCTCACCTGTTTGATCAAATAGCCATGGAAACAACACGCTATGCTGCCCAGAAAGGTAATGACAATTTCCACACGACAGCTGATGAAATCAAGGCTTACCTAGGCCTACTGTTCTTGATGGGGGTAGTTAAATTACCCAATTACAGGTGTTACTGGAGCACAAGAGAAGAACTACATCAAACTAGTATTTCAAAGGTCATGCCAAGGAAAAGATATGAGGAGCTGACAAGTTACTTTCACCTAAACGACTCTCAGTCAAACCCCGCCCGAGGTCAACCTGGTCATGACAAACTACATAAGGTGAGGCCAATAATTGACAATGCTAAGGAACAATTCTTTAGTCATTATAGCCCCAGTAGAAACCTGTCTGTGGATGAAGCAATGGTAAAATTTAAGGGGAGGTGCCCATTTCTGCAATATATACCTGCAAAACCGTGCAAGTGGGGGATCAAATCGTGGGCAGTAACAGATGCTGAGACATTTTATTTACTGGATCTGAACATTTATACAGGCAAACATGATGACACAACATCTCAACTTCCAGTTAGCACAAGGGTAGTCTTAGAACTTGTAGAGGCTTATTATAACAAGCATCACCATGTGTACTTTGACAATTATTTTACATCAATGCCATTATTAGAAACACTGCTTGTTAACGGCACATACGCCTGCGGTACGGTCAGATTGAATAGAAAAGGCATTCCAAAAGAGCTCCAAGCAGCAAAATTTAAGCAGTCTGGTGAGCACTTGAAACTTCAGAAAGGTGACATCATGGCAGTTTCTTGGTGTGAGAAGAAAAGAAAAGTGAGCGTGCTTTCCAGTGCCAATGATGTTGGTGACATTCAGCTTGATCGCCCAGGTAAACGCCGTCAACCAAGACAATCTTACCCCAAGCCCATTGCAATACAAGACTACAGCAACAACTACAATGGTGTTGACAAATCTGATCAACTCAGGTCATACTATGGTATTGCCAATAAAGCAAAGAAATGGTGGAAATATATATTTTGGTTTATCTGTGATGTCACCATGGTAAATTCATTCATCCTATATACACATGCACCAGGTGGGCCACGTCGAAATCCAATGTCACACCTGGAATTTCACCTGGATGTTGCTAAAGGGTTAATTGGACAGTTCACCAGTAGAAAGAGACAACTGATACTAGCAAGATCTCCACCAACTATCAAAAGACCTGCTGACCATGAGCCCAGCAAAGTCAAGACAAAACGTGGAAAACGTAACTGTGTGTACTGTTCAAGGTTGGGCATCACAACATCATCTGGCAACCATATACAGACATCCTGGGAATGTACAACTTGTGCTGTTGCCTTGTGCAAAGACAAAGGTTGTTTTGCAAGGTTCCACAATTATGTTAACTAATCTGTGAATTATCAGACATAAAACTGACAAACTTGCGTGAATTTGAAAGACTTACCTGTAAACTTACCTGTGCACACCTGTATACTTACCTGAGGATACCTGAGATGACTTCATAACTCATTAATGATACCATAGAACTTTATATGACAATATATTAAGTGATTGTTAATTTAGGAGTAGTGATTTTTATTTTGAGAGATGAAGTGACCATGCAGACTTTTTGCAGTTAGTGAATATATTTTCTTCATGTTACCTTTGCAATATTCTTACCTTTACGTTATTTTACCTGTACATACTGACTCATGATGCCTTCATAGCAAACCTGATTACTCTGCCTCTCTGACTTTGTGAATATTTTGCAAGATTTATTGTGATTTTATGCTTAAATACACTCCATTGAATTCTCAGGTGTTTTTTACAGGTAAAATCGATAATATATAGGTAATTTGACAGGTAATGTAAGGTGTGGTGCCAATTTAACTGCATGTTCACGTAGCTTTATCACCTGGCAACATTTCCTGAAAATTTTATTAAAATTGGGGTTATACTTAAAAAGTTATTAAAGATTTAGTACTGAGTAGTCATTTTCAGCAAAATTCACTGAATCCTTATGGGATTTAGGCCTGCAATAGGCTAAATGCACTATGGGATGCTAAGAGTTAAGCCTGGCTCCACTCGTTCTTAGGTATGTTCCGTGTTCTTTATTATTAGGAAGTACCGTTCATTGCTCATTCTGTAAATATAGCCTTATACGGTTCATTTTTAACTGTCATTAAAAGCAGTAATTTATCTTTTGTTGTTGATTGGTCTGGATTTGAACAAAGCACACTTTGACTCGTTCGTGTTCATTGGCTAGATCTTTCAATGAGTCAGAGCAGGCTTTAAATTTGATTGGCGGGCAATGCGGGCAATCAAATGTGGCCAGAGGTAACTTGACAAGATGAAGATAGGCTATAGTGAAGAGGTTAGTGTCAAGTTATCTCTAAAGCTCAGGGTGAGCTGAGAGAGCAGTTAGCTAATTTGAATATACAGTTAGTAGACGATGCACTGTACTGCAGGTTAGCTCCCCGCACCCTGGGAATGCTGGACTTTGAACCCAATTAAAGTTTAGGTGTGGGTAGTGCAGCTGGTTCATTTTTTGGAACAGAGGGTACCAGAAAGGATTGGAAGTTGGCTGTGGCGCTCAGCTAAGAAACTGTTTTTCGGTAGATTTTCAATGCAGGAGGATGCTAATAGTATCTCGTATCTAGGAAATGCACCTCATAGAGGTAATTCCCATCAGTCAGGGGGTAATGAGAATCAGGCCTATTCAAGTGTTGCTATCACCACTCGGGTCACGGATCCCAAGGAGCTATATGATGACAGCGGATTAGGGAGAGCAACACTTTTTACCCACAGTCTGGGTAGGGATGTGGTTAATAGTGCCACTAGTAGGGTTAATCAGGGGGGTCCTCCTGTTCCCCCATATGTCCCACATACACCAAGCCCCATGGGGGGTGGGGCAGCAGTCGGTCATACGGGACAAGATAGGCTTGTTTAAACGCCCGAGCTATTTGTTGACCCCAGGGGAGAGGGGAGTCACTCAGGGTACCCTGGGAATCACGGCATTTCACTGGTGATAGCTAGGTGATGGCCAGGTCAGGCACCCTGGACATCTAGGTTCCCCAGTGGTAGGAGATGGTAACTACTTGGGACACCCTGTGTATCATAGCACACCTGTGGAAGGAGATAACCCGGGTGAGCACCCTGTGTTTAGTGGCTCTCCTATTCCCAAACAAGACACGGCCTTGAGGAATGCTGCATAACTCACAGAGCTAGAGGAAACACAGGATTCAATGGATAGGAGGAAGGTAAACCCTCCTAAGAGTTAAATATTCAATGGACATGGAAGCTGGGCTGCTTTCAAGTTGGTTTTTCTACGTCACGCAGGAAGGGAGGACTGGGATTGTGATATGTCCCTTTGACGCGCTGTGCCTCTGCCTTAAGGGTAAGGCATTGGACTGCTGTGTGAACGTCACAAGTAAACTGGGGAGGTTAACTTATGAGGGTCTCATGGAAGGAGTTAGTGGTGGACATTGAGGAGTGGACTGCAGAGGGCAGAAGTTGGCCCCTGCATAAGACAGACATAATGGTGGACCAGGTAGCGATGGCACCCAAGGACTGCATGGAGCAAGCCAACAACCTAGTGCTGCGACAGGTGGCTTTGGCACGGGGCAGAGTGTTCAAGGGGTGGAGGAAGAAACTAGCACAGGGGTTGCTAGCAGTGCAGTTTTAGGCCCCATTCCTGGATCTGTGAACACGTGGCACGAATCCCAACAAACAAGCAGGCAGCTCGAGCAGAGCCCACGGGTGGCTAAAGTGAACCTGTAGATCCAATGGTGAGGAGCAAGGTCTTGGATTTCCTTGAAAATGGTCTCAGGAGCAGACGGGAGCTTGAGGTCTGTGTTAGGGAGCATGTTGTGAACCACATATTCCAAGGAAAAGAACCACCTCCAAAAAGTAGAAGGTATAATTATTGACCTATATAACCTCAAAAATTAAATGAATATTTTTCTTTTGTCTTAGAAATTTAGGGACATACCTATGTTTAGTCACAACATTAAATGACTAGCAAATTTATAATTGGTACTTAGTGAAATTGAAAGGGTCACATACTGTAACATAAAATAACTTGGAAATAATTTTTTCTCTCTCTCCCCTTACTGTCACAAGTCTGCTCATATACTATTTTACTATTTACCTAGCATCTTCACCGTGCTGTTCACTTTATTTACAGATACCAGTTACCAGTTTGGCTGTTCATCTTATTTACAGATATTTCCCTCATGCAGTAGACTTTGCTAACCTTATCACCAAATACAAACTACAGAAGAGGTTTTCAAAAATAGACTAAGTGAATGTGGAAAAAATGCTGCAAAAGATCCCATCAGAGTATCTGTGTTATTTTCGGGGCTGTTCATCATCAGTTGAAGACATGCCCAGTTCAATGAAAGAGGATACCTTGGATGATGACCCTTTTGTGGATATGGATGAACTTTCAGATGTCAGGGAATGCAAGATTCCTGGAAATTAACTCCTGTAGAGCCACATTTCGCAACCGAACGCATTTTGCAACCGGTTGCAAAATGCGGCTCTACTAAGGGAAGAGGGAACATTACTGTGATTTTATTTGGTGAAGAATATGTTGTTTTGTTATTTATAGGCTTTGGAGAGAGAGATGAGAATTATAAGAAAAATGCGTGATGAACTTAAATTTGATATAAAAGACGCAAGAACTGAGAAGAATTCCATGAGTCAAGAGATGGGGAAATTGAAATATATGGAGGGGAGGAAACATATCATGCTACAAAGTGCAAACGATAGGCAAAAGGCCCTTGGAGAGGGGTTGGAGGAGAGTTTTTTTGAAGTAAGTGGAGTGATCCATTACCATACTGCACATTTTGCTTTCACCACCAATATGTACTTTTTGATACAGCATAACTCGAAAACCGTATGGAATACAAAAAAACGGAGACCACCTCCAGTGTTGGGCTATGCTCTACAAAATGCAAAAAAAGAATGGGTCTCTAGCAATAACGGTTCCTGAATTAGAACATTTATGTAAGTAACTACCACAAGTAGGCTCAGTGTTAGTTGAAGTTGGCTACAAAAGGCATCCACCCAATAACAAAACTCAAGGCTGTTTGAAGTTTTGTCCTATCATGGATTCAAAGGTGGAACCCACCATAAAAGTGCCCATTTAAACTAAATGGTATTTATAACTCACACAGGAGGGCTGCATAGGGACCTTTATCCCTGCATCCTTTTGTTCTAACATGCAGTGGTCAGGTGTAACTGACCAGTGGCCAGTCCAATCAAATCAGCTGCCTCGTTTGGATATTTGGTCACGTGAAACTGCCCAACAGTCACTCACAGCTTTAAACTGCACAGCGGCAGCAGCAAGCCATCGGAGCTCATCGTAGATTATATGAACTTTGCAATGTGTTAACTGTATACTTTTTTTTTTCTCTCTGTGTATTTCAACATCTACGTATATTGCTAGTAAGTCCACAGTTGATCTAGAATCATGGCAGCAGAAGAATTCCAAAGTTGGAGGTTAGAGAACGAACTCTCTGACGAGACAATGGAGCTCCTCAGGGACGCGGGACATACGTCCCTTAAGTCATGCAAAATGTTGACTGAGACTCTTATTCAAAAGAATTTCTCAAAGAATCTGCCGCTGGCACAGATCTTGTTGCTACAAGAGGCAATTAGCTCCCTGAAGGAGCCAGCTGAAGGAAAAAAGGTGGAAACGGAGACAAAGGAAACAGAAACGAAATCCATGCAGGATATCCCCACAACGAGAGCGACGAGTTCCCAGCATGACTTCACCAACATGGCGGCGCCCATTGGTTCAAGTAGCTGCGATACGGAGCTGGACTTCGGACGACTCTGTGACCTCCTTAAGCTCAAGTTCCCAGAAAAAGAAGCACCAGCAGTAGGAGAGTCAGGTAAGGGTACTTTTGACCCTTTTTCTACTGGAACCAACAGCGGGAAACGCTATCACGATGTGCATGATTTCGTAATGTTCCATCAAAAATTTAAAGGGCACAACAGCGATGCCGACGCTGGATCAGTACAGATCGGCGAATTCAACATATCGCTCAGCGACAGACGACCGCAACTTGAAACCCTCACCCCTGCCCAATATATGGAGGGAAGCCTGAAAATACTTCAAGAATTAGTGCAGAAAGAGGGGGCCGATATGAACACTGTCTTAAATTACGTGACATTCCTTATTAAAATTGCCTGCTCAGCTCAAACATTTGAATGGCAATCAGTCTTGCGATATGACCATGAATACAGAAAGGCACAGGCTATGCAGGGTTTCCAGTGGGGCTCTGACAGCCCTTTCCTAATGCAATTACTTTTGACACCACTGAAACACAGCCAACCTTGACCCCGCCTCAGGACGCCCAGTGTGCCTTAAGTATAATGGAAGAATGGGCTGTAATATGAGAAATTGCAGATTTGCTCATGTGTGCAACTCATGTCTCGCTCAGGGCCATAATGACTTCTCACACAGACAGCATCAGCCCTCACCCCCACAGAACAACAGGCAATTCTGAAAGGAAGTAAGGGAGTACCCAGCAATGTCCCCCCTTACAAAGAACTTAGCATCATGGAAAGAATTACTGGAAGGGGATATTGACTATGACTTTTTAATCAACGGAATTCAATTTGGCTTCAGGATTATAGACAACATTGACTTGGACATCATCCAACAATCTAAAACCAAAAACAGTAAGTCTGCTACATCAATTAATAACAAGGCAGCAAAGCTGTCAAATGTACAGACAAAAAGCAGGAAATAACAAAACAGGCTACTGTCAATTCTGATGCAAAAGTACATTATGCTTAACTGCAAATTCAACATCANTTTTTGGTAATTTTTAACAAATAAATGCCATAAATCAATGTCACCAAAAAATATATCACTTTTTGATGGACCTTCCCCATGTGTCAACCATCTTGTAACAGATGAAAAAAATTGACAGAGGTCACTTGTATGTTTATTACTTTCTCACGAAACTAA